ACCCTGAGATCATGACCTGAGCTGAAGGCAGAGGCTTAACCCACTGAGCCACCCAGGCGCCCATTTTTTTTTTAATGGACCCTGTTTTAAAGCAGCACTCAGAATGTAGGTGTTCGCACACATTCTTAAATAACTTACTTTATAATTATTTTAATAATGAAGTCAGCCAGGCATCTTCTGAAAAAAATTTGTCGATTATAAACTTCCGAGTATACATTCAGAGTAAAGTGACCCTTTGGGCACGGACAGCTCTTATCTAGGAGGCTCCTGCGAGCCGGACTTTTGTTTCCCTGGTCATGTTGGGGAGCTTTGGCCTCCACAAGGTCTTCTTGAATTTCCCTGTCCAAAAGCTACTTCTCTCCTCATATCAGCCAGCCAAAAGTCATGATAGTTTATCACTTTAATCCTTAGTGGTATTATATTAATGATGTCCTGCCTCTACTGCTAGTGGTAGATCTCTTCTTCTTTTTTTTTTTTTTTTAAGATTTATTTATTTTAGGGGTGCCTGGGTCAGTTGAGCATCTGACTTTTGGTTTCAGCTGGGTTGTGATCAAGCTCCAAATCGGGCTCCATGCAGAGCACAGAGTCCGCTTGGATTTCTCTATCCTTCTCCCTCTACTCTCACCCACCCCCACCATGCTCTCTCTCTCTCTCCCTCAAATAAGTAAATCTTAAGAAAGATTTACTTATTTGAGGGAGAGAGAGAGAGAGCATGTGAGTGCACAAGTTGGGGGAGGGGCAGAGAGAGAGGGAGAGAGAATCCTCAAGCAAGCTCCCCACTGAGTGTGGAGCTCAATGTGGGGTTTGATCCCAGGATCCTGAGGTCATGACCGAGCTGAAGTCAGGAGTCGACCGCTTAACCAGCTGAACCACACAGGCGCCCCTAAATGGTAAACCTCTTACAGGCAGGAAGAGAGCTTATCAGTGAGTAACAAGAATAACACTTGGTCCCTGAGTGCTTTGAGCAGTGAGTATTTTGGAATGAGCAAATAAATAATTGTGCCCACGTGAAAGTGACCTGAAAAGAGAAAAATGAGGTTGTTAAATTATTTTATACCATAGAATTAGTCACAAGCCATTTCAAGATGGAGTGGGCACAGAAATCATGTAAGTACAGCTCCTCCATAGACAGATGAGCAAGCGCAGGGCTAAATCAACTAAGGTCTTACTGTTACTTACTTAGTGGTTCCATGGTGGCACATTCATTTGAAAGAATGGTCACAACTAAGCCTTGTATTACTGGCTTCGTGTGCCGTGGCTGCAGAAATCAAAGTCTGGCCTTGGCATTGCCAGGACAAGTGAAAATACAGGCAGCGCTCCTTCGCCAGTTGGAATTCTCAACTTATATTTCTCATGGTTGCCAAAGAATTATGACTTTAGAGAGGGGTCCCTCCCCCCCCACTTTAACATACTGGATTTTGGTAGCAGCTGAAACCATTGTATTGTCTGGGGCTGTCTGAGAAGTTTGTAGGTCATCGTGCCATAACATGGCTAAGTGCAAGGTCTTTAGAGTCTAGAACCTGACGTCTGGGCCCAGATTTCAGGTCCTCAACTTACTAGCTCTGTGACCTTGGGTAAGTCACTAAACTTAAGTGCCTCTGTTTTCTCATCTAAAATTGAGTTTGGGTCATAATAGTAACTATCTTGTAGAATTGTTAAGATAAATTAACTGGCTCATTATTAAGGCTTTTCGGTCGATGAATGTTAGCAGTTATGATGGTCACGGAATACCAAATGGCCATTATTCCAATCATTATTTTTCATAAATATTTAATCATTTTTAATTTAATTGGCCATTAGTCCAATCATTATTTTCCTTGCATTGGTAAGGGGTATGTTTACTGAAATTCTCTCTGAGATTTAATAATAAAGATAATGCTGGAGATCACATTCTGCAGGATCTGGAAGGTGTGGATATGTAGACATTGGCTATCAGGTCTCCCCAGATGGAGGAAATGGTGTGAATAAACTCTGTTGGAGAGAAATGTGGGCCTGTCTCGGGGGTAGTAAAGGTCAGGGTTGAGCTTCAGTGCAAGGTGCCCTGTGGGGAGAAGTGGGAGATTAGGTAGGAGATTTGAGATTAGCCCATGGTGGTCCTGAGGTGGCAGGCCAAGGAGTCTGGATTGGGGGCCTTTGAGTTCGGAGATCCCTTTTGCAGCAAAAGAGAGAGAGGAGGGACCAGACCGAAGGTGGTTGAGTTGGTAGGAATAAAGGGGCGGAGGATACGGTCCTGATCACACCTCGGAATTTATGCAAGGGACAACTGGGTCTCACACATGGGTAAGATAGGGATAGAGAAATACGATTTCGGTTTCATGAACATCAGTTTGAGGTACTGATGGGATAACCCAAGAGAATCGTCCCTTTGATAGAGATTCAGAACTGGAACTCAGGCAAAAAGTTCAGTAATAGAGGTAGAAAGCTGAGAGTCATTTCCAGATGCGTAGTGGTTGAAGACATGATAATACATGAAATTCCCGAAGACTGCACCCATTGACTCAAAAGAGATCCTACACTTTTGGGGGGAGAGATTAAGGCAAGAAGCAGTAAACATGGTGACATAAAATTCTGGGATGTAGGAATTCAGTTCAGCTGTTGTGTGTAACTTAGAGCCTCTACTTGCTTTTCCTACAGTGCTTTCTAGTTTTTAAACCTGCTGGTGAACCACAGGAGGGACTTCCTACTTCACTACTTCCAGTCACATACTGATGGCCAGTGACCCTCCAGGTTCCTTTAATACTGGGCAGAGAATTCGGCTCAAATTATGGAATTTTAAAATGGCAATATGAAATGTACATATTTCATCCTCCAGAGTTAGAAGACTCCGAAGAAATACATTTAAATTTAAAAAATTTCAAGACCAAACTGTTTTATAACCCTTCATTTTGTATGTGGTTTTCAGTGGGTATAAAAATACTCAGTGGGTGTGTGGGTGGTTTCTCGTGTTTTGGAAATGGTGAGAATATGAGATGCTGTGCGTTGGGTTCTGGGATGAGAGCTATAATTACTGACTCTGCTTCTTTCCCAGGATTGGCTCATGGGTGGGTATCTGTTTGATCTAAAAACCCACCAATGCAGAAGCCACAGTAATAAACCACTCCCCCCCGCTGTCCCCCCGCTGCCCCTCCTCCCCGGAAATGAAAAGAACTGTTGTGGCGGGGACGAGGGGGAGCGGAGGGTGATGGCTCTTCCCTGCCTTGCCTCCTTTCAGGCCTTTCACTGACGGTTGGGGTCAGAGAGGGAACGCAGAGGGAGGCTGGTGCGGTGGCCTCTCCCCGCCTGAGCACAGCGGCCACTAACAGCTGTGGTGGCAAGAGTTCTAAATAGAACCCAGACTCATTTCAGATCCTCCTCCCCCAAGTCTTGGAGGATGTGGTAAACACCCTAAAAATACCTGCTGTCTGAACCTTTGAGGTCTGGAAACGGAAGGGGCAGGTGGTAGAATTAGGGCCGTGTGGTGGTATGAGGAGGCCTGGCCAGCGACCAGGCCTGCTGCCCGTGGGGGGCCTCCTGCCCATGGGGGGGCCTCCTGCCCGTGGGGGCCCGCCTCCTGTGGGGTCTGCTACCAAGCTGCTCGGGGAGCTGTCGCCCGCGCCATCCTGTTCAAGGATAAGTGCCTCCTCTTGAGTCTCATATTCGCTGTTGGCAGGTTTCAAGGAAACTATTCATAGACCAGGCATCTGCTCTCTGTCCCATTGACCTCACACCTGCAGCTGGCACCATGGGACTCGGGCAGTGTGCCGGTTTTTAGTTGTATTTCACAGAATTAGAATTTTAGAGCGGCGAGGACCTTAGCCATTACATTGTTCATGAAACATTCCTTTAAAGTCACTGTATCGAGGGAGGCCTTTTTCTCGGCCTAGAGAGTGACCACAGGGATATGAAAATGGAGTCTCAGTCCTCGATGATGAAGAGAAATCCCGGTCATCATTATGTAATGCAGAAGAAGGAATCCGATCTTTTTAAAAATATCGATGAAACAGTCCTTTGCAAAACTTCTTTTTTATGAAAAAAAAAATAGGGTTGTGGGGCTCATTTTCTTACTCAGACTTCAGTATTTTGAATACAAAGAGCATTGGTAACTGAACCAGAAAGTACACCAGGAATCTTGCTTTCAAGGGGACTTTCAATATCTAGATTGGTTTCAATATCTAGATACCAGTATCTAGTTTCAATATCAGTAACCATGATGTTGTAATGGAGGGACCATAGCTCACCTCTGTTTTCTTGGGAAAGGAGATTTTCACAGATCACCTCCCAATACATCTGAGACACATTCAGAGTCATGGAGGCAGTCAGCACCATTATAAAATAGCATAGATCACCCGAATTTTTAAGTGTATGAGAACTCTCTTACCCCAGTCTCCTTCAGTAAACGGAGAAGGCCCAGTGAGTGCGGAGCCCATGCTGGGTGCTCTGGAGGCGGAAGCAAAGATGCCCCCAAAATCCTGTAGAGCTGATGGCGGAGGCAGGACCACTTCAAGCGCTGAGGAGTTTTACATATGTTGCATTTATGGTGGTTACAGAATTTTTATAGTTGTAACAAGTATGTATCTTCCATTCTGAGGGTCTCAGAGTTCGTTTCTGTGTCTGGAAGAATGTTCTTATTTTATACTCTGAGTTGAAAGTAAATTGAAAGTTTTTCTTGAATTCTTGAAAAAAACAACATCATGGTGGGTTTTTTATGTCACTTAATGCCTATCTGCCAGCCTAGAAGCAGGCATTTCCCCGGACCAGTACACTTGGAAGCAGAAATGAGACTCCTTGGGAGAGAGTCTGCTTTGGGAGTCAATGTGATTTTGTGGAAAGAGTGTGGCTTTGGGATTTTCAGTTGCTTCAGTTGTGTAGAAGGCAAGGAGGATGTGGGTTTAGAGGGAATCTTCTATTTGGACGCATGTCAAGAAGAGATGCAGGGAGAGGGTCACAGCCACAGCCACAGCACAGGGTAACTCAGGGAGCATAGTTCCTGAATTCTCAAACGTTTCCCTCTGAAATTCCAGAATGAAGAGCTTCGAAACTTGTCCCTTTCTGGACATGTCGGATTTGACAGTCTCCCGGACCAACTGGTCAATAAGTCTACTTCTCAAGGATTCTGTTTCAACATCCTGTGTGTTGGTAAGTGACTCATCTCTGGCTGCTTAGCAAGGACTCTGATCCTGAAGTGTTGGCAGGTGACTGTCAGAGGGACACATTTCGGGGAAGTAGGGGAATGATACTTTTACTACTCTTCTTTCTCTCATTAGTAAGTCAGGGCAGTAATACACTGTGTATGTCACAGAGGTACAAAGATTGGGACTTGTATGTGGTAAATGTTTCATGAACTTTGTGATGTTACTCAAATTGGTATTTTTATGTGTGTCACACTGTCAAGTAGTCAGTTCAGTCTTATTAAAACACTTATTTTAATTTCTGGTGGGGTGAGGGACATAGAGCCTGGCAAGACTGTAGGAAGTTGAAAGAAGGGACTGATAGAAACACACATAGAGGGAGCATTCAAAAGCATTTTTAGAATTTATTTCTCGGCTCTCTGACTACCGTGCAATAGAAACCTCCACTGAAGTCTTTTTAGAGGTATACAATCTGAAATTACTCTAACTTCCCTAATAAACCTAATGTTTTTATTTCTGGTTTTTAGAGCAAAAGAATGTAGAATTCTGTTTTATATCTGGAGTAAAATTTCTGCCTGAATTACAGATTAAATGTGTGTCTTTAAATTGGAATAAAAAACTGACCTTTAGTGTATTCCTGATAGATCAATGGAAAAAAATCCAAGAGACTCGATTTATCTACCTCCTCAGTGTGTTTTATTCATATCTTGTAGATGTGCGTTCGTCTAGGCCTCTGGCCTTGGTGTTTTTCTTCTCTCTAGCTATATCCTTCTTAAAGGGAAGGCAGAAAAGAAGGTGAGGAAAATAGTAGTATAAATCTGTTGGTTTGAAGCAGAAATGCTGCTGGGACTGGTGACGGCCTTCCCTTCACTGTCGCTCCTGACGAGTGAAGTGGCTTGGGCTGCGTTGTTCTTGCCGTTGTCCTCTTGTCCTCCGGGTATATGCTTGGGAGACATCACCCCGAGACAGACCAGGAGAAGTTACGTATGTGGGCAAGTGGACCATCCTTCGCCTGAGCTTGACCAAAGGTGCCAGGCTGACTTCTCTTGTCCAAGTGCAATGAACTGAAGTTAAAAAGGGTAGATGTTGACTATAAGAGCCACCAGTTTTAAAATGCGTTAGGGCGGATATTTTCTTTTTCAAAAACCCTGAACATAGTAAATGTAGTCCCTATACTGGGGGTCTGTCTGTAGAGAGCCACACTGACTCGTACACTAGACCAGCTCAGTCTGGCATTATGTCTTAAGCGTCGGGTAAGAGAATAACTCGAGAGAAACATGACCAAAGCAGCCAGCTCTCATGCGTTCCCCTTTTCCCGACAGGAGGCTGTTTAAAATTCAGCAGGGGAGCTCCTGAATGGGAGCTAGTTCTACAGAGTGGCATAAATGAGTTGTCTTTTCTCCTAGGGTAAATGCTCGTTGCAGAGCAGGGCAATTCTTCATTAGCGTAGCAATTTGTTGGCAATTTGTTGATTTTCTATTGAAAAGTGCTCTGAATTATAGGCCAATTACTACTCCGGCTTCTCTTCCCTGCCTCTCCCAGCCCTGTCTCCAAAATCAGCTTCAAGAATACATGTGAGAGTTATGCCGCAGCCCCTGCAAGTAGGATAAAGGCTTCCAGTGGGACTGGGCTTGCTGGAAGGACCTGGTTGGACCCGATGTGTGGTGTGCGGTGGGTGTGTTGGCTCACTGGCTGACCCTGTGTACGTAGCACAATTATGATGCTAGTTGGAATTCATCACAAGCCACATCCACACTGCCTGGATGGATTTGTAAAGCAGCTACTATTCTGACTTTCCTGGGTAGGTGATAATACCTATCCTTTTTAGATATTTATTCTGGGCTCATTCTTTTTTTTTTTTTTAAGATTTTATTTATTTATTTGACAGACCGAGATCACAAGTAGACAGGCAGGCGGAGAGAGGAGGAAGGAAGCAGGCTCCCCGCTGAGCAGAGAACCCGATGCCGGGCTCGATCCCAGGACCCTGGGAACACGACCTGAGCCGAAGGCAGAGGCTTTAACCCACTGAGCCACCCAGGCACCCCTGGGCTCATTCTTACACAGGTTTAAAATTAGTTTTTTAATTTAATTAAAATAATACATATTTTTTTTCTAATTAGGAGCTCTTCCCTACCCGCTTCCCCCTCCTGTCCTCATTTCCATTCCGTATGGTAGCTCTGTGGAATCCTTCTACAAATCTTAGCATTTTTCTGTACTTAAAAATTATTTTTGGTGGCTTTAAACAACACTGGCTTATTATCTTATAGTTCTGTAGAAATCTTACCAGGCTAAAATCAAGGCATCCACAGGGCTGAATTTCTTTCCACAACCTGTGGGGGAGGGTACGTTGCCTTGCTGTTGCCAGCTTCTAGAGGCTGCCTGCATCCTTCGCTTGTGGACACTTTCCTCTATCTTCAAGGCCAGCAGTGTTGTGTTTCTCTCTGACTGTTCTTATGTTAGGAAAGTTTCCACAGAGAATTCCAGAAATCCAGTTGAAACTCAGTTAAGAAGCCTCCGCAGCTCCAAAACACACTGAAAGAGTCCTACATTGAATCGTGTCATTAACACCAGCTGGCTCTGGGGATCCGCAGAGTGTTCTGGAGGCCGTGTCTGGTTCTTGGTCCTGCTTGCTTCCGCGCGGCCTCACGTGCGGGCGGTGGCTTCACGCGGCCGGTGCTGGCCTAGCGGCCCCCGAGGACAACCGAGCCGTTCCTGACGGGTCTTGCTGAACAGTCACAGGACGTCTCAGGTGGACCAGTCCAGAGTCACATGCCCACACGGGCTGGGATACGGGGTTAGTTCAGCACAAAACACCACAGGTGCCCTGTGAGGAAGGAGACGTGATGGGAAAGGAGGTTGGGCGTGGAGGAGACGCACACTGGGCAGATAAACAGCTCCCGCACAGTTACGCAAGTACTTCAGTGTTTTGGTTTTACACCAACGCCAGTGAGATCACACTGTCCATATTCTTCTGCACTGTTTTTTTCTTTTTTATGTTACAGTAAGTCGTGGCCGTTCCTCCATGCCGGTGTATCTAGCTGGCCAGGTTTGCTTCCATGACTCCTTGGAACCTGGTTGGAGCCCACATGAGCTCTTCGGGAGACCCGGGTCCTGTGGTCAGCATTAAACATTAAGCATACTTATGCACAGAGGGCAGAACACATCAGATCCCTTTCCCACAAATAATTTATAGCAAAATATCTATCAGAAAACAACTCTCACTGTCATCTTTCTATCTATTTATTTATATTATTTAAATTCAAGTGGCCAACATAGAGTACATCATTAGGTTCAGATGTAGTATTCAGTAATTTATCAGTTGCGTATAACTCCCAGTGCTATCACTTCGCATGCCCTCCTTCATGCTCATCACCCCATTATCCCAGCCCCCCAACCTCCACCCTTCCAGCAACCCTTCTGTAGTTAAAAGAGTCTCTCGTGGTGTTTCTCCCTCTCTCATGACTTCCCATTCAGCTTGCCTCCCTTCCCCTATGGTCCTCTGTGCTGTTTCTTATGTTCCACATATGAAGGAAGCCCTGTGATGATTGTCTTTCTCTGATTGACTTTTTAAACTCAGCATAATACCTTTCAGTTCCATCTGCAATGGTCCATCTATTTTTAAAGTCAGAGTCTGTGGAAGAGTATTCTATTTGATCAAAATATTTGACAGCCACTTAGAGGAGTACGTGTCATTTAATTTAAGCATATCCATGGTACTTTTCACCTTGTCACCCTACTGTCCATATGTATTTTTTTTTAACACACTATGCACGTGTGTGCTATTTAAAGCATCATTACTTTATTTTCATGTGATAAATACGGGAGGGAAATGAGAATTTTAAGAAGAGAGTTATGATCCTAGTAAGGAAACTGATCATGTTGAACAAGAAAGCCTTGAATTTTAATTTTATTTTGTAGCAAGAGCTTTTAGGTTGCGAAGAGGGGAAACAAACCAGGGCAGTAACTCATCCTGGCATGAGCTAATTTTAGAGGCCACGAATTAAATGTCTGGTATTAGAACCCATACCTGTCGAATCCTGAAAAGAAATGTAATAAACAGGAGAGTAGTGTTCACTTATTAGGGAAGAAAACTCTTTTGGTGTTCAATTGGATGCCAGACCCCCCACCTCTGTCTTGCTTATGACGTACTAAATCACCCCTAAAGCTGTACTTGTATTTACATAAAGCCTTTTCTTACCGTGCTGTAATTCTCTAGGAAATCAGAATTATTCAACCTTTCTTCACAATTTTAAATTTATGTACCTTACTCATTTTCCAAAATGGCATTAACTCTGTGAGAAGCTTCAACATTGATCCAGAAGTATGTAAGTTCTTTGAGTATATACACAGACAGATAAAACACTGTAACATCCCTGCAATGAAAGAGCCACCGGTTCCGCAGTAAACCCACCATAGTTGTTTTGAGAGAATGACAGAAGAGGAGTAGAAAACATGCAAGTTTAAGATCTTTATAGCCAAGACTATGGTAAGAACATAAACTGTGGAATTTTACACTTTAATCTTTTTTTCTCAAGAGTTTTATTAAATATTTTTTTTTATTTGGGTATAGTTGACACATGTTACGTTAGCTTCAGGTGTACATTTGTATCCCATATTGCTTTTCCAGGAAAGGATATGAAATGATTTACAGAGTGAAGTGAATGAGTAAATGAATAAAGATAAAATTAACCCCAGAAAATAAAGAGAAGCCAGGATGAGCCGGAACTAAAGCTATCAGGTCGGTCTGCAGTTCCTTCAGGGATGGATTTGCCTCTCAGCCAGTGGTCAGAGCGTGGAATGAATCCGTCCACCCGAAAGATACTCACTGAGCACATACTACATGCCAGACATCAGCTAAAAGTTTAACGATGACAGATTTATGGTATGTGTAAAGTGAAAACAAAACAGTTGCTCCAGATGAAACGGTTTCACCTAGAAAAATCTTCCCCGTGGATTTTCAGCAGAGATACGGTCCGTGTCACTGCAGTTAGGTCTAGATTTCTAAAATTCCCCAGATCGGTGCAGTTAATCCACACAGTGCCAAGTGTCACACGCTGCTCTTTCAAGTCCCTCACGCAGGTGGCACTAGACAAAGCGTGTTTCATCAAAGGTGATTTGATGAGGAGTTAAAACAACACAGCTTAGGAGCAGAGCTCTCTGATTATCCGGCTTCATCCAAGAATAAAATTCTGGAATATTTAGAGGAGGCAGGCCGACCTTCATGCACGATTATTTGGATAATTAAACAAGTTGCCAGACCTGGCAATCAGTAAAAGATGCTGAATCATGGATTGGCTTTTTGATCAATCTACAATTACCTTCTAATTAATAATATAATCCTACTGGGTCTTTTTTTCTTTTTTCTTAATTCCTTCCTTCCTTCCTCCCTCCTTCTTTCTTTCTTTCTCACTCTCTCTCTTCTCTTCTTCATTCTTCTTCTTCTTCTTCTTTTTATTTTAACATCCAGCTTAGAGCTGGTGGTTTAAATAAGCCTGTGAATAGAATGGAAGAGTTAGAGTTTGTGATGTGGGTGTCCTGTCCACCCGCCTTGGCAGGAGCAAGAGAAGCAGAAGCCACAGATAGAACTTTAAGAGTAAATCTCTGCTGTAACAACAGAATGTTTAGGCAGATGTATTTATAACAGAACAAACAACAAATCTGAAAAATCTACCCAAACGGCAAATCTCAGTATAAATGATCACCATGATCATTTTTTTCCTTCAATTAACTTTTGATGAATGCCTGTGTTGTGCCAGATACTCCACTAGGGAGTTCTGAAATGCTTCAGAGCTGGTGTTAGTCATTTATTTTCTCAAAATATTGTGGTTGTTGGGTTTGAATCCAAACTTATTAGGCTTTCTGTTACTCAGTTATAATGAAGCCTTTTTGCTCTTTTGGGTGGCTCAGAATTCTAGAAGATGCCCTACTTTCTGAGGATAGAGGCCGGCCTCAGGAACCAGTGGACTCCAAACTCCCCTCCTTCTGTAATTCCTCTTGTTCCAAAATTTGTCATTCCTCCTCAACTGCTTTTGGTGAATCACACTGCTGCGAGAGTAGCTGTGTCTAATTACGGCCCTTAAAAGCACAGAGCATAGAAATGGAAAGAAAAGCACTCTGAAATTTAGAGGAACAGTGGTTTTTCCAAGCCATTGATCAGCCCCGTGCTATAAGTAGTGCCTGGAATGCTAATTGTTCATAATTTCCACCTTAATGTAAATGATAATTAAAATTACCTTGCCTTACAAAAAAAAAAAAAAAAAAAAAAGCACAGTATTCCTGATTCACATGTGCTTAATGAATTCTCAACCTAGTAAAATGGATTGGTCATTTCAGTCCTGTCTAGGTAACCTGGGATCCTTACCATGTAAACGGAAGTCTTCATTGCTGTTCGCAGGGTCACGTGTACTGAGAGAAACTTTAACCTTATGCAGAGATCTTTCTAAGATAGTTCTGCTGCTGTTCCTGTGTCTGTGTTCTGAAAATGGGTAAATCTGGAAGAGAACTCTGCGGCACTTGAGAAAGTTACAAACGTAGCAGACAGGGACAATGACTCCAGCGCCTTCAGCACTGAATTGCCTACAGATTCTAAGTGTCGGAGAGGGAGAGCTCTGTTTGTTTCTGTGTCCATTACACAGTAACTTTGTTTTGCTCAAGGTTATTTTGTTAAGCCATGAATCACAGATACCAGCTGTTGGCTCTATCCCATTGGGAAGCAGAGACTGGTTTAGATACCTTTTATTGGTGGGCTTTTTTTTTTTTTTTTTTTTTAAGATTTTATTCATTTGAGAGAGAGCACAGGGGACCGGGTGGGGTGGGGGGTTGGCAAAGAGAGAGGAAGAAACAGACTCTCCCCGCTGAGCTGGGGTGGGGTGGGGTGTCCATCCCAGGACTCAGAGATCATGACCTGAGCTGAAGGCAGATGCTTGACCATCTGAGCCACCCAGACGCCCTTTGATGGGCTTTTAAATAAGAATACCCAGGAAAGTAAGGAGAGCTGGAATCGGTCTCAGCAGTTACATATCCAGACTTTGTAAAGCTCTGGAATGACAGGATGTTACAGAGGCTCAGGTGTCCGTTTTTATTCATCATTTTGTCCCCAGCACCCATGCTTGTCACAGAGGATGCACTTAAATATTATTAATGAATAAATTTCAGGTACTAACCTCGACCGTATCTCTCTGCTCTCTTCACCCTGTATTCCCTGCTGAGGGCCCATCAGCAGCACATCTTCTCTCTCCGTACAGTCTTCTCTGCCTCAGGGCCTCTGCCTACCACTTCCCTCTGTGTGCCTTTTCTTTTCCATGCTGTTGCTTTGTGTGTGGATCGTGTATCTCTCGTTCAAACCCCCAACGGGAGACGTTCTGATTGGACGGACAGGCCGCTGTCCAGCGTGGAGCACTTTCTTGGAGCGTAGTGACCAGGCTGCTGCGGGTGCCTTCCTTCGGGAGCTAGTCCCGGTCCCGGTACCTGTGGTCACAGGGTATGGTCCTGCTCGCGAGAGGAATGTGTTTATGGCAGACACTTAGAATGTCCTTCTGCGATGCTGAAGTAGAGCCTGCTGTTCCGTCGCATTCCAGGTCAGGTTCTGAGCAACACCGGGAGAACACCGTGTCAAGCTAATTCATTGTCGTGGTCCCAGAGAGTTGCACAGAGCTCGGCACATTGCAGGCACTGGAAAAAGTACTGGCTGAGTGAGGCCTGGTGGAGGAGGACATTCTTTGATATTAGATGTATCAGGGGCCTGTCTAATGGGAAAGGTTAGAGAGTGAGGCAGATGTACTTACACAGTTTCATTCTAGCCAGTGCTAAGACCCAGTAAAGCTTCTAAGTAGAGAAAGCTCAGATCCAGGAACGCTCCATCCTCCTTCAGTTTCCCATGGCGCTGGGAAGTAATGAGTGTCACAGGGGTGCCTGGGTGGCTCAGTGGGTTAAGCCTCTGCCTTCGGCTCAGGTCATGGTCTCAGGGTCCTGAGATTGAGCCCCGCATTGGGCTCTCTGCTCAGCAGGGAGCCTGTTTCCTCCTCCCTCTCTCTCTGCCTGCCTCTCTGCCTACTTGCGATCTCTGCCTGTCCAATAAATAAATAAAATCTTAAAAAAAAAAAAAAAGAAAGTAATGGGTGTTACAGAAGCTCTGATTGGTAAGTGAAAAGTGGATTCTGTCACACAGTGGGACAGTTGCTTTTTTAAGCTACAAATCCCAGAGCTCTTTTTCCCATAGAATTGTCACCATCCTAAAAGTCTTCACAGCAACCCTTTAGAAGAGGAACTTCATGGGGTTTGGATTTGTTGAAAGAGTTGCAACATGTTGGCATGTTTAAAGTGAACTGAAAGTGTAATTGGGAAATATTCCAGATTTGAAAAATAAAGGCATTCTTACGGATCCTGTCTCTTGATTTCTGCCTCCCTCTTTCACCATCGCACTCGGTTGCCGCCGCCACCACCACCACCAAAGGGTAGGTTCTTCCTCCTTGCCAGCCGCTTTAACTCGACATAAGAATTAGGATTAGGAAAGAGTCTTGCTTGATACTGTTCGAAGGCCTGGCAGACGTACTTGCTGCGCGTTTGGGGTCCGCATTTGCTTAGGGGAGCGGCCTGGGGTCCCGCCGCTCCCGTTCACACGCGTCAGGGCTTCAGTAAGCGCCGAGCTGAATTCTCGATGTGAATTAACAAGGCCCTTGTTGCAGGCTTTTTCACCTCATTAACTTGCATCATCGCCGATTTCACACAGAACCCGGAAGAGCCGTGGAATAAATGTTTTTCCGTCTTGACTCCAGTCGATAGGGAAGGAAAACTGGGAGTGATATGGAGGCATCACGCAGATGTGTGCCTGCGACCAGAAAACACGAGGCGTGGGTTTTCTCTCTAATAGGAAAGTCGGGACATTGTGTTTGTTGAGTGGAGGTGTTAGAACCACGCAAAACTTGGGTGGAAACCGTGGCTCTGCCACAGAACAGTGTGACTTCAGGCAAGTTCCTTAAACTCACCGGGCCTTACCTGCCCCATCTGGGAAATGGAGGGGACAGGAGCGCCTGTGTCATGGGGGATCGTAGTAGGGTTTAAATGTGGTAATGCATTGGAAGCCCTTGCCCTGGGGCCCGTCACAGAGTAAGCCCTCAGTGACTTCAGCTGGGTCTGTTGGGATCGCTGTCACTGTCAAGAGTGTCGTCTTGAAAATGTAATTCTTTTCAGCAGCATTAGATAGTATCAGATCATTTGATGACATCACGTAATATAAATGAGATTGGTCTTTTTCCCCTGGTAACAGAAACAATATAGTATTTTTTAAAGTAAGGTAATTTTACACACCAGTATTTAGGAGAGGAAGACGTACAGTTTATGTCTTTATAATGTATAAGCCGCCACAGGCAAGCTTACAGGTTCTTTTTCTCTATCCAGAGGTTAAGAAGAGCATCTTGATCTGTAAGTACAAGATCTTTTATGCTAAATGGTTCCTGGAATTCATTAAGGCCTATCTAGGGAGGTCTTTGATGGCTTACACATGGAAAGAACTATCTTTTCGTAATGGAATTTCTGGTGATACTTTTATGAAAATTTTACAAATATGAGTGAGAAATTTCTGATGAATTCAACTGATGTCTGAGAGGCACTGACACATTTCTGTCATGTCTCCCTTGTGGTCATCAGGTGAGACGGGCATCGGCAAATCCACGTTAATGGACACTTTATTCAACACCAAATTTGAAAGTGACCCAGCTACGCACAACGAACCAGGTGTCCGGTTAAAAGCCAGAAGTTACGAGCTTCAGGAAAGCAACGTACGTCTGAAGTTAACCATCGTGGACACCGTGGGATTCGGAGACCAGATAAATAAAGACGACAGGTACGTCTTGGGGTTTCATGGGGATATAAATGGACCAGGAGATGGGAGGGCCTGTCCTGGGTACATTCAAAGGCTAAATGTTCCCTAGTTATGGGGCTGGTCTTCTGTTACCTAATAGAAAAGACATTCTTGTTCTCTGAGAAATTTTCTTAGAATGTTCTTCCCTGAGGTCTGAATCAGACAGCACAGTCGGTTCCAGCTAATGCAAGGGAAAAAAAAAAGCTTATGGCGTTTTTCCAGGAGGGCCATGGAACTAGATTTGGGGGCTTTCCCAGCAGGAAGAGCAATCTAGAGAAACACCCAGTGATTCTACAGGACAATTGGCAGACGCCGCTGCCACCAGTCACCTCATATAATTTGGCACCCTTGGCACGGTGGGACGGTCTCTAGAACCACCAGTTCTGTCCCGGATAACCGAATGCCTTTACTATCACTTGCAAGGAGAACAGGTGTGGCCTGCGTGTGGCCTCTGTGGTGGGTTTCTCGCTCCCTGCTTCCAGGTCTCGTGTGGCTGCCTCTGCTTGGTAGAAACTAAACCGCTTCTAGAACACTAGCCGTGAGAATCTGGGAAATGTGGTTTTTGTTTTTGTTTTTTGCAACTCTGCAAAATAAGAAGGCGTTAAAGAGGAGAGGAATGTGGAATGAGCGTCTGCCATGCTCTCTCAGTCCCTGAGGCAGACTGGGATATTTGACTTAATCCCCCAATTCTTACAGATTTCAGTGAAAACTGAGAGTTGATGATAATCCTCTGTGAGAAGCCACGCCCCAGGATTTAGGAGAGCTGGATTGTAGCCTGGATTCTACCAGTGACAGCGATGGGACCGTGGCAGTTTGTCTCACTTTAAGGGAGTGTCACTGGACATGTGATACTGTGTATAGTCCTGCTCTTGGGCAGAGGCCTGAGGAAGGACACTGTGAAAGGCAAGGCCTGGGACCGGGTGTGGTCATAAGGGGGTCATCCTGCATTTGAAGTCCTTGGTCAAAGTGGTACCAGCTCCTAAAACCTCAGAGTGCAGAAAGCATTTTAATGGCAGATCTATTGAAAAAAATCTTGATTTCCAGCTGGGACTGGGTCTTGCCATTGATGGGAGTGCTTGGTCTGAGGCACTGTGAGTCCTTCTGTGAAGCGTGGGGGGCTTCCTCGAGGCCTGTGGAGGGGTGGGCAGCCTGTGGGTGCAGAACCGCCCAGTCGAGTCTGAATGACGGTGGCTTCAGTCCAGCCTGATGAGGAATGTAGGTCGACTGGGTTAAACTTGCCCTCTGTCTCCAGTGGGCTTTGTTAAGCTAATGAAGTAATAGGTCCAGTAAAGTATACTTGTGAAAGAAAGGCCGTGTTTAACCTGATTAAGAAATAAAGTATTTTCTACGAATGTGTTCCGCTAGTTTGTACGTAGAGAGGGGCTGCCACCTGCAAGCGAGTCTTACGTAGTCATTTGTGGAAACCCGTTCACGTAAACCTGAGATATGATTATTAAATGATACAGTTGGTTTTTAGTTTGATAAAACACATATTCAATTTATAAAGCCAAGGGAGTTTGTCTCTTCTCTGTGAGTTGCTGTACGCCTTTATCTGAGGGAAGCCGTTAATCTTGAAACTGGTGCTCAACCGATACGTCAGCCTCGGTCCCCGGATACTGTTCACACTTCTCGAGATCATCCATCCTCTTCATCATTCTTAAACCAGATGTCTTACGACTATTTTAAATACGGTATTCATTTTCAGAAGAATTAGAGAAAGTTAAAATTGTCCCAGGTCCAAAGATGGTTCTAGAAGGGGGCTTCCAGAGACATTTATTTTTTTTTAAAGATTTTATTTATTTATTTGACAGAGAGAGAGAGAGATCACAAGCAGGCAGAGAGGCAGGCAGAGAGAGGGGGAAGCAGGCTCACTGCCGAGCAGAGAGCGCAATGCGGGACTCGATCCCAGGACCCCGAGATCATGACCCGAGCCGAAGGCAGAGGCTTACCCCACTGAGCCACCCAGGCGCCCCTTCCAGAGACATTTTTGTGCAGAGACAACATTAAGGGAATAAAACACCAAATCAGTAAGATATGTTTGCTTAGGGCGCGGAAATTTTATTAGTACCAGGGTTTATTTTTTCTTTCTTTCTTTTTAAAATTTTCCTCAGAACCGTGTATATTATATGCATATGTTTTGTAAAGAGGAACTTGAACTATTTTAGTCTAGAATGTGTATTGCCTAGAGATACTTTAACTATCTCGATATATATGAGCACCACAGTAGTTAGGAAGAAATATTTAATTCATTCTCTAGCTGAGCTCCATTTTATCTATAGAGCAGTTTAAATGTTCTTCAATAAACATTGTCCTATAATAACAGCAGTGATTGTTAGATGTAGTGAGAAGGATTTCATCCCACATCTGGTCAAAATGAACTGTCTGTACATTGTGTCGGGTGGGGGATAGCTAAGCCCAGACCCTGCAGCTGAGCTGCTGCTCTTAATTTATGGCCTCAGTGCCAGAGAATGACGGAGAGGCTCCCGCCCGAAGGCTGTTTGTAAGGCCAAGTGGAACAGAGGAAGGGGAGGCCTTGGCAACGGAAACAAGAGCACAGGTGTATTTTGGGGCCGGGGAGAGAGCCGGGGTTCCCTGTCATGGGGCCATCACCGTGTGCTCCGAGCGAGACGTGTCTCCGTCTCTCCGGCCTGCACGGGTTTCTCCCTGGAGTTGGAGGATGTCATGCTTGTGCACCCCCTGACCGGAAGGCAGTAACCGGACCTTCCTGCAGGAATGAGAACAGTCTTCCAGCATCTTTCTGCTCCGACTCTGCGTGCTCGTCCCTGCTCAGAGTCACGGCCTCGGTGGCTGCACGACTTGCGTCCCCCCGAGTGGGGATTGGCCTTCAGCCTGCTGGTTTGCGCGGGCCGGCACGGACAGCGAGTGGCTACTGCAATACATTCTCACATTTGCAGCTGGAGGCCTCTTTAAGAAGTGATCTGACTCATTTGGGTCAAATAATAGTTTCCAAGGAGATTTAGAAGAGAGGAAGTGTGATATTAACCTAACCTAGATACCAAATATTTTTTTTCTTCTGAAATTTCTTGACAGCTGTTGCATAACCTCTTTAAATGGCATTTGGAACGCTGTGCCCCAGAAGGCATTGTTGACACTGTTGACTCTAAACCCAAATGACTATTGTTTAAAAAAAAATTTTTTTTTTCCGGACAGTCTGCTTCCATACAAGAACTGGAAGTGAGGTATGCATTTTTGCATTGCTATGTAACCATATGGGAAGCAATGTGTTGTTTCTCTAAACCCGTGATTATTTTTACTACTTTGGGGATGGGGCAAGCTTTTTGGCCACGAGTGCGGGACTTCGAGAATGTCCCGGCGTGTTTATGTAGGCTTCAGTCATGTCAGCATTCCTGCATGAGTGTCTGCCTGGGACAGAGCTGGCTAGAAGGAGACAGGAAGAGAGATCTGGTAAGGTTTCCTGTTGTGTGTAACAGCAGGATTAACTCTTCGTGGTTTAAGGCCTTCTTCATGTTGCTGTCTGTATTCTTCAGTTGAGAAGGGGGAAAGGGTCTAGAGAAGAAGGTAAACCAAGTTTTGTCGTAGAGCTGGAAATAATTCACGTGCCCCACATTTGGGAAATGGGAGATACGGTGGCGTATCCTAACTTTAATGGTGATCAGCCCTGAGGGGCACGAATAATGGGAAATCCTCAGACTCCACATCTTTGTGTCCGAGTTATAAAATGGTAGGGAAGTGGACCCTTTGGTCTCTAATTTCTGTTTTTACCACACTTTCTGATGGAGGTAGTTGAGAGCTAAGGAAAACTAACTTTAACTAACAGCAAGGCAGAGAAAACGAGATGGTGGGTGTCGGGCCGCATGTAAAATGGGGAGTCGGCCCCTGAACAATGGTGTTGGTTCTTCTGCAAGAATGATCACAGTGGGTAGCTTGGGTGGGTAGAAAATACTGTATAAAATATTTTTTTCCATCAGTTTCAGGGTCAGCCTCTGTATTTTATTGTGAATTTTGTGGCTGGAGGTGAATTGGAAAAATGAGTTGTGGGTAAGAAGGGCTATCCCCATGCTTAAAAGGAGACGATGTGACAATGTAAGGACTAGATTCCGTTTGTCCTCCTCTGCTGTCCTCTGCGTGGTAGGACTACAATCCAGAGAAGTTGAAATTGGCCAAACAGAAAATAAATTGGTGTCCCTTCTGTAAGAATGGAAACTAGCAAAAGGCAGAATTGGGGTTAAACTTCCTTATCTTTGTGATGGTGAATGTAGGTCAGAAGTGGAAAGGAGTAGGAGGAGGAGAGGGGCCGGTCGTTTGTTCAAGGGATGGTGAAGGGGAGTGTAAAACTGCTGGCTGACTTAAACACAGGGCATAGTGACTTTAGTAAATGTTCTCCTGGAATACATTTCTTTTAATTTGTTGTAATGGTAAGAAGTTAAGGTTGGTGGCATTTCTTGCTTGACTCTCTGTGTGGGCGCCATTCACCAAGCGAAGGAATCCAGGGAAATGCGGGTTTGGGGCCAAGGGGAGGAGTCCCGTCTTGGACACGTTTAGTTAGAAGAGCCGATGGAGGTACCTCTGCAGCAGCTGGATGGCTGGGGCTGAGACTCGAGCGAGAGATCTGGGCTACTAGCAGAGGTTTATGAATTGTCATCACTTAGATGGTGAGTAAAACCCAGGAATAAATGGGATTTTTCAGGGAGCTCACGTAAAGGGAAAAAGAGGAGACTGGAAGATGAGCTGGAACTCCCTGAGAGGGCACGGCAGAAGGAAACCCAGGATGTAAGAGAACAGAAGGTTTCTTGGGCTATATAGACTCCAGGGCAGAGAGCGTCCCTCACTGGAAAAGGGGAGATGTTATGCCTCCTATAGTCTTGGTGGATCAGAATCAACAGCGGAGGCAAGAGGGAAGTTAATAGGAAGCAGAAACACACTGGAGCGCTGCGGGGGGAGGTACTGAGAAGCTCAAAATCGGGAACCGGTGAGGCAGGAAGGAGCAATTGTTCGCGAGCTGCTTTTCCTTTCCTTTCCTAAGAGGGCATTGGGGAAAGACCCCAGTTCCCCAAACACATGACTCAGTGTCCGGAGATGGAAGCATCAGGCCTGGGACGGGCACAGGTGGACCTCGGCGGAGTGGCCGGTCCACTTCCCTGCAGGGCACCAGCCCAGCGGCAGAATGGTTCCCGGGCGCTGGGTGCGGGCAGCGTTCCTTTTCCCCTTCTCTTTCTGAAAAGTCAGGCTGGCTTTTCTCTTATTTGTTACTGTTTTTTATTCTATTACTGTGAAATAGTTACATCTTACTCTTCTGTGGTAGTGCTTTACACACACTAGCTTATTTGTAACAGTAGCTCTCTGGTAACAGGTGCTTCTTTGCCCTTATTTTGACTTTGAGGAATTCGAGACACGGAGGGGTTTAGTAACTTGCTCCAAGTCACATACATACTCGGTTGTGGAGTTGGGATTGGTTTGGCTTGAATCCATGCTTCTAACCACTATCCTATGATAATTCACATGATTAATATTGTTATTTTAGGGGCTCCTGGGTGGCTCAGTGGGTTAAGCTGCTGCCTTCAGCTCAGGTCATGATCTCAGGGTCCTGGGATCGAGTCCCACATCAGGCTCTCTGCTCAGTAGGGAGCCTACTTCTCTCTCTCTCTCTCTCTCTCTCTGCCTGCCTCTCTGTCTACTTGTGATCTCTCTCTGTCAAATCAATAAATAAAATCTTTAAAAAATATATTGTTATTTTATACCTGCCAGTGTTTTAACGTGGAAAACAGAGAAGGAACTTATACTTGCTCATTCTTTCTATTAGATTTTATTGGGATTTCTGTTGTTATATTTAGAACCTTATCATTACGGAGGCATATCCTGTTTTTTCTTTAAACCACTAGAGATTTTGTCTGCTCACATTGAATCAGCGGACTGTGATGAATCACTGAGGAAAAATACCAAAAAAACTTCTTTTTCTGAGTGCTTTCGGTTTTTGGTTATAAATGTGCTTTATTTTGTTTGTTCGTTCATTCTCTCAGGTGTCTGCTGTCATCCACATTATCAAAGATTTCTAGTTCCCTTTCATGGACTTCCGTTTAGTATATGAGTCAGGAGAGCGGAGTGTTGAAAGGTTTTTCTTTCTTTCTTTCTTTTTTAAGATTTTATTTTTATTTGTTTGGGAGAGAGAGAAAGAAAGAGAGCATGAGAGGGGAGAAGGTCAGAGGGAGAAGCGGACTCCCCGCAGAGCTGGGATCCCGATGCGGGACTTGATCCTGGGACCCCGGGATCAGGACCTGAGCCGAAAGGCAGTGGCTTAACCAACTGAGCCACCCAGGTGCCCGGTTTTTTATTTTTCTTAAAGCTTAAGTCATTCCTCAGCAAGGTGGTAAGTTTGGGGAGAAGGAACCCATTGTGTTCCCAGTAGACCCATCTCCTTGCCGCCAATGCTGACTTCTGAGGGGTCCCCTGGGGACCTGAACGTTTACAGCTTTTCCACAGTGCCCTACTGAAGGTACTGCTGAGCCCCTGGTGAAATCTGGTGTATGGGACGCATATTCCCAGGGTGCCGTCAGTGGGTATGGTCAGTTAATAGGATCATACATAGTCATTCAAAACAGATTAGAATTATGATTTGCTGAGAAGCAAGAGTTCAGAGTTTACCTTCGGATGGTAAAGCGTCAGAGTTGGAAGTGACCTGGAAGTCCCGACCCCCGGGCCCGTCAGTTTGGGGACGAAGCCGTGGGAGGAGCCCGGGGCTAGGCGCGAGCACCGAGAGGCCCTCCTGTCGGGAGGAATGGGGCGGACGCCTGGGCAGGAGCCCCCGCTGGGTGATGCCGCGCCTCAAGTAGAGCAACCCCTTTTCCGTGTCCGCACCGGGGTCGGTCGGTTGGCAGAGGCGGTCCGAGTCCCTCTAGAGAGCCGGACTCGGAGACCGCGATTCGGCCCAGCCGGAGGGACGGCCACGCGCTCTCGGCGGTGTCTTCCGTGGGAGGCGACAGCGCGGGCGCGCGCTCTCGTCCCCGTTGGCAAGGCCGGGTGAGCCGGGGGACCGCCAGGACCAAGTGTTGCGCGGGGGAGGCCGCCGGGACAGGGGCGCAGGCAGATGAGGGCTGCGAGCGTCGGGCCGGCCGGAGAGCGGAGCTGGAGAGCCGGGGCGCGGCCCGGGGTGCGCGGGACGCCGCGGGGCGCGGCGCGTCGGCGGGGCCGCGGGAGCTTGGAGAGCAGACGCGCCGCGCCGCTGTTCCGCCCGCGCAGCTACAGGCCCATCGTGGAGTACATCGACGCGCAGTTCGAGGCGTATCTGCAGGAGGAGCTGAAGATCCGGCGCTCGCTGTTCAGCTACCACGACTCCAGGGTCCACGCCTGCCTCTACTTCATCGCCCCCACCGGCCACTCCCTGAAGTCCCTGGACCTGGTCACCATGAAGAAGCTGGACAGCAAGGTACGCCCTGCCCCGCCGGCCCTCCCGGTTCCCATCGCCTCCGTCTGGAGGCCCTGGCCTCCTTGCCCCTCTGGGTGGCATTCGGCTGCCGTTTGTTCGCGGGGCCGTTTTGCGCAGCAGTTTCAGGTTCCCCGCGGAGCTAGGAGGAAGGTGCGGAGATGCCCACGGACCCTGCCCCGCACCCACACGCCCGCCCACGGGCACCTTGTTAGCGGCCGCGCTCACGTGGACGCTCAGCCCCCGAAGTGCGTGGTCGGCACTGGGGTTCCCTGTTGCTGGCGGACAGCCGGGCTTGGACTCATCTAGAAAGAGCCGTACCCCTCATCAGAGTGCACAGTCGGTTCCTGCCCAGTACTCCCCCGTGCTCCTGCCTGTCCGTCCCTCCCCGCTTCCTCCAACCCCGCAATTGTCTCTTCTGGTTTACAGAGCCATAGGGTTTAGCAATGGGAGAAAAAGGCTTCAAAACCTCTGGATGTTGGGCTAAACAAAACAAAACAAACAAAAGCGTGGTGCTCTCTACCAGCTATTTTTAGTTCTTAAATTAGCACCAGTGGGTGCTCTGATGAGGGCGGGGAGTTATATAGCCGAAGCACCTAAAAGGTCATAGGAAGGGTTAAATTTAGGGAGATTGAAATAGGAAGTCACAATTTGTTTATTTTCTTAAAAGCTCTAAATTTCTTTTTTTCTTTTTTCTTTTAAAGATTTTTATTTATTAGAAAGTGAGCACTGCACAGTGGGTGCAGAGGGAGAAGGAGAAGCACTGTCCCCGTGGAGCAGGGAGCCCTATGCAGGACTCGGTCCCTGGGATCATGACCTGAGCCACTGAGCCACCCAGGCGTCCCTTTCTAGATTTCTTTTTTAAAGGTCTTTAAAAGTTTGGCTTTAATAATTAGGAAGTTTTGAGTGGGGGAAAAAAAAAGGTGTTAATTTTTTTTTTTTAAACTTAGGTGATAAGGACAGTCCAGCTCCTTAGATTTAAAACTGAATTGCACCCATGTGTTTTTATTTTTTATTTATTTTTTAAAGATTTTAATTATTTATTTGACAGAGCACACAGCAGGCAGAGCAGCAGCAGAGAGGGAGAAGCAGACTCCCCACGGAGCAGGGAGCCCGGTGTGGGGCTCGATCCCAGGACCCTGGGATCATGACCTTAACCGAAGGCAGAGGCTTGAGCCACTGAGCCATCCAGGTGCCGCCCCCACCCCCATGTGTTTTTAAAAAGCAGTTTCCGTTTGTCACTGGGCTTTCCATATTAATAACCTCTCCCTTTCACAACATTTGAAGGAAAGGTACTGACAAGTTTGGTAAGTTAGTGGTCTGTTTTACGATTACTTTGATTTTTCGGGGCGCCTGGATGGCTCAGTGGGTTAAGGCCTCTGCCTTCTGTTCAGGTCATGGTCCCGGGGTCCTGGGATCGAGCCCCCCATGGGGCTGTCTGCTCAGCGGGGAGCCTGCTTCCTCCTCTCTCTCTCTCTGCCTGCCTCTCTGCCTACTTGTGATCTCTGTCAAATAAATAAATAAAATCTTTAAAAAAAAAAAACAAAACAACGATTACTTTGATTTTTCATTTTGAAGTAAATGGAGGACAGGACATTCTGAAAGCGAAGAAACACATGACGGTGGGAATGACCACAGAAAGGAGCCGGGGCATTTTCTCTTCTAACCTCCTTTTTGAGTTCCATGGAGAGTCTTAGCAGCTCCAGAGGGTTTTGTTGGGTGTTATTTTTTGTCTAAACAAACACTGTTGGAAAGACGCTTTCTCCCCAGAGGACCGTGATGGAGAACACTCAGGAGACCAGCGTGTCCCCAAGGCCTCTGTCTGAACTCGCTGCCAGAGCGCTGGCCGGGGCTGACGCAGAGCCAGGCTCCTCAGCCTCCAGCACGAGCAGACACACGGCTTTACTGAGACATAGTCTGGTGGCATGAAGGGACCCTGCAGCTGGCGTGTTCTCCTGAGAACAGATAGAAGCCCTTCTCCGTCGTATTTCTTTCAGCGGCAGTTAGCCACGGACGGTGGAGGGATCTGGGCCATGAGGCAGGCTCCCTGTGCTGTCCTGTCCTGGCGACAGGGCTGGGCGATGGGCAGAGAAGGAGGCTGGTCCGAGGGTTGTGGACCAAGCCCGCAGCCAGGGGGATATTTAACAACAGGGTCATGCTTAGTAAAGTTGAATTAAAAAGGGAGAGAAAACAAGGCAAAGCAAACCCAGCTGGAAACAAACAAACCAAAGTCCCCAGAAAGCAGGTTAGACTGCTTTCCAAGATCGCTATTGCTGTGGAGCCAGGAGTGCCGGGTAGCATCTGCAAATGTATTTGCAAAAATGTTTGTTAATAGAAGCAGAGTGAAAAGTTCAGGCTCTTAACTATATAAATCACAAATCTGTGATAATTTCAGAAAGGATTTTTGAACACCTGCCACCGAGGATGATTTTAGATCTAAATTGCTTGATTCATCTATCTACTCTGATCAAGGAACTATGAAACTCTGCCATTTTGTCTGCGTAAAAGTCACTGAGTGCTAAGCACGTACAGAAGGCAGCCAGGGAGAACAACGAGGAAGTCCTCGCATCCGACCCACACATTTCCCTGCCACCAGTGTTTCCCGCAGTCTGTGACTTGCTGGGTGAGCCCAAGCAGGAGGGTCGGAGTGGGTGGGGAATAGGGGAAGAGTAGGTTTTTCTATCCACACGTCTTCTCATGGGGATGGATCAGGGATTTTAATTTGGCTCTTGGAATAAAAGAAGAAGCAAAGGAAGGCAGATGTGACCAAGAAAACCTTGGGAAAAGGCCCCCTCAGTCCCTTGCAAGGATGGCTTTCTCACCGAGTCTGACCCCCTTCCCCTGGAGCTGGGTGGGGAGCATGACCCCGGGTACTGGATGTCAGTAGCATCTCACTGCAAGCTCCGTACCTACCACGGGGTGGTAGACAGTTACTCCTAAAAAAGGAATTTAAGAAAATGTGCTGTGTGGACAGTGCTGGGGAAGGTTGGAAGAACGACCAACGTTGGGGCTCGGGGTTTGTGCTTGAGGGTGACCCTGGCTCTCAACGCTGGGCTTCCTGCCACGATTGGCAAACTCTGCCTTCTTCCTGGTGTGTGTAGCCCCTGGTCAGAAAGTGAGCCTTGTCTTCGGCGCTAGGTCTCGTTCTGGCATGAAGAAGTAATTTGCCAGAAGGCGGTGTTTCAAAAGAATTCGTTGGAAATTTTAAAAGTAGTTGAAATTGGTTTTGTTTTGGTAAACATGTTGGTTCTCCACTCCTAGCAGTCATTAGAAGAAAAGCGAGGATGTTACTCTGGGAGAGGAGCTGTTCCGCTGTTCTTACTCACACAGGCTCGGCTGTTACACTGTAGGAACATGAAACAATCGAGCTCCTGAAGTAGCTGGGAGAGGGCTAAAAGGAGTGGTTGGTTATTCAAAGAATGGGCTTCTTTGTTATTGCTATTTGTCATAGAGTAACACTTCCTTCTACTCTGTAAAAAAGGGGGAAAAAAACCGCGAGGTAGCACAGAAACAGAAGAGGAAATGACAAGTACGCTCTCAGTGCCGGATGGGAGGAAGTAAAAGTGTTCCCAGATGGCGCTCCGAGATTATCCCGTATCTTCGTAATGTTGCATCTGGGCAGAAAGTCTGATTCTCCGTCTCGTCTCTATTTTTTTAAGTGAAGCTTTATAGTTTTTGTTGTTTATTATGTTTCATTCATTTGTCGTATTTTTCTTCCATGGGAATAGTGGCAAAGTGGATGTTTGTTTCACAGGTGAACATCATTCCCATCATTGCAAAAGCCGACACCATCGCCAAGAATGAGCTGCACAAATTCAAGAGTAAGATCATGAGTGAGCTCGTCAGCAACGGCGTCCAGATATACCAGTTCCCCACAGATGAGGAGACGGTGGCAGAGATCAACGCGACAATGAGCGTAAGTCCTCAGCTGCGGAAGGGCTACCCGTAGTTTCCCGAAAGCTTTTCTTGGTGGCAGCGCTGTAGAGTGACTAGAACCCTGGGCCGGGAATCTGATGCTTCAGTGTGGCCCAGCCTGGCGCTGTGGCAAGGCCCTTAGCCACCCTGCTCCCCAGGGTCCCCGTCTGTCAGAGGGGGAAGCGAGGCAAGCCGAGCTCCAGTTTCCTTCCCACTCGGGCAGGTGGAATCCTACGGCAGATCCCACGGGAAGGGCCTGCCCGCCCAGCGCCACCTCACACAAAGCAGCTTAAAGGACGTAGATCTCTGCTCGTCTCTGGCATTGTTGGCAGAAATATATCCACCCGCCTCATTTCAGTTTCTGTGATGGGTTCCTGCCTTTCCCTCCTCCTGTTTCTCGTACCCTTTCCTCGCTAGTGGCTTAACTGGCAGTTGAGGTGTGAGTTCTTCACCTCACAGACAGGATGGTCGGGAGAGAAATGACTGAAGAAAGCTTCAGCGGTTCTCAAGTGTGTCTGCAACACGGTGTCTCCTCGTGAGCCTCCGCGCTGCCCGCGGAGAGCCAAGTCTTCCTGCTGCCTCCTCTGTGTCTCACAGCCATGGCTCATCTCGAAGCCACAGTTACTACACATTTTTTTTTCTTTCAGGACTGCGTAACTTCTGTAGAAGTCGCATTCTTTGCGCATAATAAATGCCCGTTGATGGTTTTTGGAATTCTTAAAATTGTAGGTTAGATTCAATAAAATGTAATTAGAAGCTATTAAGTAAGTTGCCTTTCCCTGGATACATGTTTAAAAATGATTCAAAAGTATGCTAGTGGCAGCAGAAGTCAGTCTAGATCTTTAAATTGTGGTAGGTTGAATTATGTTCTACTTCCTTAGATCTGGTCATGAAAATGTCTAATGAAGTCATTATTAAATGCACTAAAGAAACTCTTTTTAAATTAACAGCCTTATAGTGAGATGTAATTGATATACTGTACAATTTACCCATTTAAAGCATGCAATTCGGTGGTTTTTAGTATTTTCAGAGTTGTACAACCATCACCACCATCAGTTTAGAACATTTTCATCACATCAGAGAAGAAATTGTGTACCTTTTAGCCATCAGCCCTCTAGCCATCCCAGCCCTAGGCAGCCACACTTTGCTTTCTTATCTCTTATATTTGCCTGTGCTAGACCTTCCTATGAAGGGGGCGCGTGCTGCCGTCCACCTGGAGAGCTAGATGACTTGGTCAAAGCTAAGAGCAGCCCTGAGACTTCAGCCCTGGCCTCGCATCTGTGTTGTCTGACGTCATAATTTAGGAGAACAGGGTTATTCCACAAATCTCCTTCTTTTTTCATCAGTTCAGCTCACAGACTTTTCTGTATACCACTGTTACCGTTCAGGGAGGAATTTCTTCCTTAAGTTACTGCTGAGGTGACGAGGACTTTGGAAGCCAGCGCAGCTCCTGCCCTCTCTGGGCTGCTGTGTGGATTTCAAATGTAGGAGCTCAGGAAAGCAAAGGGAGCCTGGCTCCACTCTGCTCCAGTCTGGTCGCCCTCTGAGTTGTAAGACCCATGGTGGTGGCCACGCTCCTGGGGTCAGGATAGTAAAGGCTCTGGAACTCCTGGAAACTGGAGATGCTTCCCGGGGAGATGGTCTGAGGGGCTGTGAAAGGAAGGTTGTCCTAAGGGAGCGTGACTGTCCCTATTCGGAAGGCGGAGCTGAAGCGAGCAGGGGAAGGGCAGTGAGGGTTTGGCCATCGGGACCGGCTTGTAGCAGGCACCCAGCAGAGGAGCCTGTTCCAGTCCCCGTGGACCAGAGTCCGTGTCCGCGCCCTTGGCAGAGCTGCGGCAGAGCGGTCCCTAAGCAGGACGGAAGCGGGCAGCGTGTCGGTGTCTCGGTGTCCGGAGCCCTGCGGTCGTGGGCACCTAGAGCTGCGGAATGATCGCAGCTCCCGCTGTTCTTGACATCTGTGGAGCATTTGCCGCGCAGCAGCCACTAGTCCGGTGGGTGGGAGCTGTTCCCGCTGCCTGGCGTGGGGAGGAGGCTGCGGCCCGGCCCGCCTCGGGCCCCGCGGCCGCTGAACCACCAGCTGGCGGTACCCGTCGTGGGAAGTTCGCGCTGCGTTAGCCCCGAGCCCCTCTGCTGCAGGGCGGCCTGGGAGGTCACTGCAGGAGTCGGGAGATAACGGGAGCGAGTGTCATCTCATGTTCTCTGTCCCCCTCCCCGTCCCTTCAAATCATTTTGGATGGTTGTGCCCCTGAATTTGTGTTAAATTTCTCGGAAGGAAAATAGCCGTGGATTTTGGCTCTTTCTGTCTGTATCCGACTAATCGAGATGATGGTCCCAGATGAACCTTGTTCTTCCACCAGAAACTGTGTTTTTAGGCTCCCTGTCGCAGTGTGCCCCGCTGGCGCAGTCAGTAGAGCAGGCCGCTCCGGATCTCGAGGTCATGGGGTCGAGCCCCACACTTAGGTTCTCCTTTGCAAACAATTTGGGGTGATGAAATCCCACAAGATGGGTAGGAAACACATTTCTTTGGTGGTTGCTTTTGTCGCTCAGGGTGAGCGGAGGAAGCAGTTTTCTTTGGTCGTTACCCCAAAATGTTGGCCAGAAGGGCCCTGTTGCTCCGCAGCTCCAGGGAGCATGTCACAGTTCCAGACTCAGTCTGAGAAAGAGGATGTGCTTCCTCCCTACAGAGCGTGGGATGAACCAGAAAGTAGAAATATCTTGAGCATCAGTGAAATCCCACTTAGGCAGCCAGGTTCAGGGTTGTGCCCTCTGTGAGAGAGGGTTGGGCTTGGAAACGTTCTTGTCTTTCTCAGCTTGTCTGCAGTAGAGGAGCGGTGGCTCAAGGAGGTTGCAATAATCTGTCTCAGGACAGCCGTGTCAGATGCTTGTGCTCTGACATGCTCGTAGGAAAGAGGTGGGTTTACCACCGACCCCTCACCCTGCCAGTGCCCTGGATAGCCAGAGCCACCACATGAGTCAACGGGGAGCAGTCTGGTGTCTTGAACGCCACCTCTCCTTGAGAGGAGTCTGGGCTGCAAGCCTTGGGCCAGTAATTTGGGCTAAAACGTATTTCTGACGTGAATTTTGTACAGTGGCCATCTAAAGCCGTGCTGTTCAGTAGAAATACTAGTCACACAAGTAATTTAACACTTTCCAGTCGTCACATTTAAAAAGGTAAAAGGGGGGTGGGGTGCCTGGCTGGCTCAGTCTGTTAAGCATTGGATTCTTGGTTTCCGCTCAGGTCACGATCTCAGGGTCATGAGATTGAGCCCCGTGTCCAGCTCTGTGCCCAGTTAGAGTCTGCTTGGAATTCTTTTCCCCTTCCTCTCCTTTCCCCTCTGCTCATGTACTCTCTCTCTCTCAAAATAAATAAATAAAATCTTTTAAAAAATGTGGCAGAAGTGGCATTATAAAAAAGAAAGTAAAAGGAAAGGTGGAATTAATTTAAAAGCTTAACTGACTATATTCAAAATATTATTTCAACTTATAATCAATACAAAAATTAATGAGATACTTTCACAGTAAGTCTTTGACATCCAATGTATATTTTATAATTACAGCATATCCCAATTTGGATGACTACTCAAGTTGCTCCTAACGTACTCCAAAGTTTTTCAATATGAAATAAGTCCCAGAAAGATAATTTTCATCTGTGTTTGCATCCACATTGAGCAGACTGGTTCTTTTTTTTAGAAGATTTGAGTTTGAAGCAAAAAAAAAAAAAGTGCAGTCTCCAAACAATAGAATTTTATTTAATGGAAAAATATTTTATCTTCCATTTTAAATTAAATGTAAATTAATAAAAAGTCAAATAAAACTCCTGTCTTAACCCCCCAAGCCCCATTTCGGGTGCTCGGGGGCCACACGTGTTCGTGGCTGTGGTCTGGTGCGCACGCGCCCGCAGCTTCTGGTGTGGGGCGGAGACTCCTCCCGCTGCCCTCGAAGCCGGCTCCTGTCACCTGTTCCCTATCCGGTCGGAGAAAGGGTGGGGGCGCGCAGCCCAACCCCACCGACCTGCAGAGCCCCGCCCCTCTCCTACCCCCCCCTCCCTGTTTTCTCCTGCCCCCGGGTGAGGCCTGCGGCAGGGGGCGGTGCTGGAGAAGGTGACTCATCTCTGGGCTTGTGTCCCTTCCCAGGTCCATCTCCCCTTCGCAGTGGTTGGCAGCACGGAAGAGGTGAAGATCGGCAACAAGATGGCCAAGGCCAGGCAGTACCCCTGGGGTGTGGTGCAGGGTAGGTGTACCTTACGGGGAGGGGAGTCTTCCCATTTCACCCCTGCGGCGACCATTGCCCATCCTCCCCTCCCTGCCGTGTTTGGGGTGGGGGATTGGGGGGTTGGGGGGTGGGGGGGGTGGAGGGGTGGAGGGGTGCTCAGCTGCAGGCAGGAGGGAGGGGGCAGCAGGGCTGTACATGTGGCAGTTGTCAAGAAAGGAAGCAAGACATGGTGGCCTGGTGGGTGGCCAGTGGGGAGAAGGGAGTGCAGAGGCCTCGCGCCACTGAGGCAGCCCCTCAAGAGTGTGGGCTTGTGTGGCTGAGTCATTGCACGGTCCTGATAGGAGAGAGTTCTACCCCAGCAATTTCACCCTCTTTCCTCCCTCTTTCAGCAGCCAAGCGTAAGAACGCTACTAAATGTTTCTTGTCAATGAGAGGATACTTGTTTCTCTGTTATCTCTGGAAAACTTGTCTCCCAGTGAAATGTTATCTGACTGCATATGGGAGAACTTTGAGGCTGTCTGACCTGTGCTTGGCACTGTGGGATATGCCCACAGTCTCTGACCTAAAGGAGCTTCCCATAGATCGCTTTGTTGGGCAAGGACTCTGTTAGCTGCCCTTGGGCCTTTTGGAGGAAGATGCGCAGTGCTAGAGGTCAAGTAGAATCACTACGGAAAGTTCCTTCACTGCTTTAAGCTCTATCGGTCCTCCTTTTCTGTTGTTCTGAATAAAGGCCATAAATCTGAGAAGCGAGAAGAGATTACACCTTTGGGATCCCTAGGAGAATGACAATTCTTTTTGAGTCTTACCTGTTTTCTGTACAATAAAACTTTTCCTAGTGTTGAGAGAAATTAAATGAAGTGGTATGTAAAAACTGCCTTGTATTTCTCCTGGGGGCACGGAGGGGTGGAAATGACCTGGCTTTGCAGCCAGATGTTGGGCTGTTTGAATGTAGACCTGCTACCTCTCAGGTCAGCATGCCTAGCTCAGCCTTGCTTCTGCATCTGCAAGACAAGAGTCACAGCGCCTGCTGGGCAGAATTATCCTGAGGGGTAAAGACCGTATCTGCAAGGGCCCTCCCTCGGGGCAGGCCCCTGGCGGTCACCACGGTCATCGGTATTACGGTCCGCGCTGTTAGCCGTCTTGTCCTCGGTGCAGGTGTGAGGCGAATCCCGTAGAGGGTCTGCAGGTGGCCTTGAGACCAGAGGTCTCAGGAGCCATGGTGGTGAACCTCCGGAAAGTGTCACTTCAGATTTTCAGGGACGTCACCGCTCACAGCCACCCCCACCTTGCCGTGTCTTGCAGTTGAGAACGAAAACCACTGTGACTTCGTGAAGCTTCGGGAGATGCTGATCCGCGTGAACATGGAGGACCTGCGAGAGCAGACCCACACCCGCCATTACGAGCTGTATCGGCGCTGCAAGCTGGAGGAGATGGGCTTCAAGGACACGGACCCTGACAGCAAGCCTTTCAGGTATGAACACACCCAGCAGCGCGCTGTCAGTGGCTCGAGTGGCGTGTTGGTGCATCATGGAAATGGCTTACTGGATTAGGGCGCCTGGCGGCTCAGTTAGTTCAACGCCGGTGCTTGGTTCCAGCTCAGGTCCTGATCTCGGGGGTGTGAGAATGAGCTCTGAGCTCCGCGTCGGGCTCCCTGCTCAGCGGGAAGTCTGCTTCAGGGTCCGGCCCTCTGTCCTGCCCCTGCATGGGCGCGCGCGCGCACTCGCTCCCTCACGTGCACTCTCAAATAAATAATCTTAAAAAAAAAAAAAAGATGTCGGTGACAGAGGGACCTGGTGGGGACACGTTAGTAGCGTAATAGCCAGGCGCCGTGATCTGCACTTGACTGGCGTTATCTCAGCGGACGCATGTAGTCGGTGTCGTTATCCTCCGTTTTGCGGGTCGGCGTGTTAAGGCACCGAGAGCGTAGACCACCTGCCCGGGGCACCGTGAGTAGGAGGTGAGCCCCGGCTCTGAACCGCTCCCTCCCGGAGGTCGGAGCCCGGCCCGGGGTTCACAGAGCTGCGGCCGCTCACCGCAGCGTTCTGCGCTGGCGCTGCCCGCAGGGCCTCCCTCCCCAGGGCTCTTCTGCCAGCCGCTGTGGTGGCTCAGTGTGTACCAGCCACTCATGAGGAGGAAAGGGAGTAACTTCCAGAAGCCGTCTGTGTATCTTCCCACGTCATCCACGGGCGGAGATGCAGGGAGTCAGGACACGAAGGGGAGAATATCAAAGTCAATGTAGAATTCGTGGCCCAGCAAAGGCTCCGTCCTGGTCGGGACCGGGTGGTGGGGGGCCGGCAGGGTTGAGTACGTTGATGGCGGGGGGCTCCCAGGCCAGATTCGCCGCCTCTCAGCGCAGGAGGGGACTGCCTTGTCTGTCCTGGGCCCGCACGACAACTCGGCGGAGATTCCAGGTGAGGTGATGACGCGAGGCACGTCTGGGCACAGGTTAGGGGCTGCAGTTCCTTGGAAAAGACTGTTTCCTCCTCTGCTGTCTCCGTTTTTGGCTTTTATAAAAATCCCTCCTGCAAGCCCACCAGGAGGTCGGGTCGCTGGGCGGTCCGGCTGGGCTTCTGCAAGGCCTGGCAGAGCTGGGTCCAGTGGGCCGCTCTGGCCTTCCCGACTTCCGGGGCTCCGAGTGGTGGCAGATGTCATCCAGGCCTTCTGACTCGCAGACGTAAGCTTCACCCCTGCATCTCCCGCTCCCCATTTGCTTCCATTTCTTCTGGCCTAAGGTTTCCTTGTTTTGTTTTGACATCTCACTATACTCTCACTACATTTATTTTTTCATTGACGTATAATTGACACACAGTATTATATGGATTTGAGATGTACGACGTAGTGATTAATTCTGTACAGCGCTCAGTGCTCACCAGGACAAGTGTGGTCACCAGACAGCATTACTACAGTATCATTGACTGTATCCCCTGTGGTGTACTTTCCGTCTCCATGACTGATCTATTTTACAACTGGTACAAACCTGACCCGTCCCTGTCTTCCTTTATTTATATCTGTTTCCTCTTTATTTCACCTGTCACCTCGCCCCAGCCCCCCAACCACCAGTTTGTTCTTTGTATTTAAGAGTCTGGTTGGTTTTCATTACTTTGTAAATTCATTTGCTTTTTTTTTTTTTTTAAGATTTTTTTATTCACTTAGAGCAGGGGGAGGGGCAGAGGGAAAAGCATAGAGAATCTCAAGCAGAGAGTGAGATGGAACCCGGTGGAGCCCAACTTGGAACCCGATCCCATGAGCTGGGATCATGACCTGAGCCAAAACCATGAGTGGGACGCTTAACTGCCTGAGCCACCCACGTGCCCCATTTATCTCTTCTGTTTTTTAGATTCCCCATATAAGTGAAATCATATGGCATCTGTCTTTCTCTCTCTGCCTTATTTCACTTAGTGTAATCTCTTCTAGGTCCATCCATCTTGTCATAGACAGCAAGACCTAATTCTTTCTTCGTAGCTGGGTAATACTCCACTGTGGGTATATGCCACGTTTTCCCTGGCCACGCACTTAACGATGGATGCTTAGGTGGTCCCTTATCCTGGCTGTTGTAAATAAAGTTCAATAAACATAAGGTGCATAGATCTTCTCAAATTAATAGTTTTGTTTTCTTTGGGTAAATACCCAGTAGAAGAATGGTTAGATTACACAGTATTTCTAATTTTGTAGGAACCTCCACACTTTTCCAGAGTGGCTGCCCCAGTTTACATTTCCACCACTAGCATGTGGGGGTTCTCTTTTCTCCACGTCGCCACAAACACGTTATTTCCTGACTTTCTGATACTAGCCATTCCAAAAGGCATGAGGTGTATCCCACTGCGGTTTTGGTTTGCATTTCCCTGATGATGAGTGATGTTGAGCATCTTTTCATGTGTCTGTTGGCCATCTGGATGTCTTCTTTGGAAAAATGTCTGTTCATGTCCTCTGCCCATTTTTCAATTGGATTTTTTTGGTGTTGAGTTGTGCGAGTTCTGTATATAGTTTGGGTATTAACCCCTTATCCACTACTTCACTAGCAAATATCTTCTGCCACCTAGTACATTGACTTTTAGTTCTGTTGGTGGTTTCCTTTGCTTTGCAAAAGCTTTTTAGTTTGATGTAGTCCCAGTACTATTTATTTCCCTTGCCTGAGGAGACATGTCTAGAAAGAAAAAGCTGGAGGTATCACAGTCCCAGATTTCAAGATTCACTACAGAGCTGTAGTAACCAACACACTGGCATGAAAAAAGACACATTGATCAGCGGGACAGGATAGAGATCCCAGAAAAACTCAGACTTACGTGGTCGGTTACTTTATGACCAAGGAGGCAGGAATATGTGATGGGAAAAGAATCTCTAACGAATGGTGTTGGGGAAACTGGACGGCCGCAGGCAGAAGAATGAAACTGGACCGTGCTCTTACAGCACACACAGAAATAACTCAAAATGGATTAAAGGCCTAAATGTGAAACCCGAAACCATAAGCTCCTTGAAGAGACCACAGGCGGTTTCTCTCCCACTGGCCGTAGGAACATTCTGTAGATCGGTCTCCTCAGGCAAGGGAAACAAAAGCAAAAATAAAGTATTAGGGGACTGAGGTTTCCTTTTTGATAATAAAATGGGGGAGTATATATTATAAATACACATGCAAACTTTTACTCTTTTCCGTATATAAAAAAAAGTAGACAAAAGTAGACCTTCCGAACCGCTTGCCATCCCTTTCGTTACTGGGAACACTGGAAGTGGTTCCTCCCAGAAGTCCACTCGCTTACGCTCCGGGTGTCCATCTCGGTGCGGGCGAAGACCGGCGGAGGATCAGAGCCGGCTCTGAGTCGGCTGTGCTGGCGGATAGGGAGGCGAAATCGACTGGGTCTTCCGTTCCGAGAACCGCTGCTGTGAAAAGGGCTCGCACTTCCCCTCCGAGGCGCCTCCGGCTCCCCAGGCACTTGCCGGTGAGCCCGACCGCACTGAAGGGGCGGGGGGTGCGGTGAGGGGCCCCACAGGGAAGATGCCGCAGTTCAGGAAAAGCAAAAGCTGCGGCTGGGTGGAGTGGCTTCCCGGAATTTCATCTTCCGAGTGCTCATTCCTGGACGCCCTTCGATGTTTTTCCCGCGGGAATTTCGGGTGCGCCTAGAGGGGTGTGAGTGTGATTCTCAAAGTGGAGGGTTTCTGCAGGTGCGCGAGGGAGTCCGTCCTTCCCTTCGAGCACCCCGTGTCTCTCTTTGTCCTCCAAGCCCCTCTTGCATTTCCGAAGCAGACAGTGACCTCTAAAGCCAAGGCTGGGGAGGGGCCGTCGTCACCCGAGCACCCTGTGCCGTGAGAGACAGAAGCCGGAGCCGGGGGAGCCCAGTAATAGGCTGCGGGAAAGCCTGGGGAGGACATCGGAGGCCGCAAAGCCAAGGCCGTCCCTGCTAGTGTCCTTGAACCTGCCGCCGTTCAGAGTTGTCTGGGGCAGAATCTCCGTGTCTGTCCACCTGTGTACCTATGCAGATGGCAGCCTGCTGTCCCCTGTGCCCAGCTTTCCACTTGCTGCCCTGCAGCCCTCAGCCCAGCCAGAGCAGTGCGCCTCCTCTGGACCCCGGTCTCCCTTCCCTAGACCGAAGCGGGGAGCGGATTAGGACCTAAGTGGGGTCTGGACCCCTCTTGATCCTGCTTCTTTTCTCCTGAGACACCTTTGCCCTTTTCCCAACAGTCCCTGCCCAAACTGCCCCTTCCTCATCTCAGAATACCACCTTTTCCTGACTGTGTCAGGTCACAGAAAGAGCTTTGTTCTCTCAAGAAATCTCTCAAGAGATCACAGAGTTTTCAGGTCTGTGAGACCCATTTGTTTGGGGGGAACATGGAGACCTTGGTTCACCAGGTGCGGTGTAGTGGGCGGAGCTCCAGTGTGAGCATCTCTGGTGTGGGACCCAGACAGATGACTACACACTTGTATCCGAGTTTCTTCATGTAGGAGACGGGAGGTGGAGAGCAATACCCGCCGTACCGGGTTCTTGTGAGGATTGATGAGTTTTCTGCGTAAATGCTTCACGAACGCTGGTGACCTGTCGTTCTCTGGCCTGCCCTTTGCCAGGTTGTTCCTGGGGGTCGGAACAGAGATTTATTCTGTGCGAATTACCAGAGGGAAGTCTGGACTGAACCACCCGTGCTCAGTTCTCCTTTCCGTTGACTTCCGTGAGCAACACCCACCTCTGCTTAGGGCTGTTGAGGAAACAAGAAGAGGGGAGGGTGCCCGGCTGGCTCAGCCCAAGGAGCACATGACTCTCAATCCCAGGGTTGTGAGTTGGAGCTCCACATTAGGTGTAGAGATTACTTAAAAATAAAATCTTAACTATAAAAGTGAGAAAGTGAGAAGGTAGAATCTGTGGTTTCAGTCCAGCTTAAAACTTTGCTTATTTCTCATTGAGAAAAGGGTGTTAATAACTACAATTAAAAATTAAGTCAAAAGAGCTAAAAATGGCCAGAGACGTCCTCCCACTGGGCATCTTGAGTGGATGACATAGAGCCAGTTCCTTCCCAACTGGTTTTTACTGACCTGAAGCATTAGTGAGGGTTTCTGGTGTCATTTATAACTCCACTGGCAGAGGCTTATGGGGATGGTGACCCCGTGAATGTGAATGTGTGGTGGTTCGAAGTCATTTCTCAGGATCTCACTGGAGTTGTGACTCCTTGGTGTACGGGCTTAAGATTTCCTGAGTGTTGCTCATCATTTCCAGGGTCAGTGTTCGGATCCTGGTTCATGTCCTAGGACACAGTAATGGCACGGTGGCATTTGTCGAACCCACTTTCCTGTTCCAGCCCAGATGTCAAGGCTGTGGCTGGGTCTCCACGGCCGAGGCCCTCCGACTGGTTGCAGCGTTGCCTGATCACCTTTTTCTAGGACACGGGCTTTCTGACTTTGGGTGGCAGCCTTCACTATAAAATGTGTTCTCTGGATTGTGATCCGGTCTGCAAATTTTGAAGTACATCTGTTCTTACTGTTTGCCCTGCACTCTGGTATTTTCTGTTCTGTTCTGTTAAACTTTTTCATTGAGCATACTGGTTAAGACCGTCGTTTGGGTCATGACCCATAGTTTGAAATGTGTCTCCAGGAACTGGAGCATAGGTAGGTTTTGGCTGGGACCGGATGAGGCAGAGTCATTGTGAGGGCTCTCATACCCTAGGTAGGTAGCTGTGGGTTACTTTAAGAAGTGTTCACGATTAAACAGATTTGGGGAGCTCTAAGTAAATAAACAGGTTCTTGTATGTAAGGACTTTTAGAGCATTTAAGACAAGCGGTGGTTGGTGGACGAGTTACATCAAGTCACCTGGAAGCATTTAAAAAATACAGATGATTTGTTCACCTGACATCCTGAGTCAGCCCCTCCAGGAGTGGGGTTAGGAAACGGTTCAGAAAAGTCCAATAAAATGGGCCCAGGCGATCCTGACAGGCTGCCACGGTTGGGGGACATGCGCGTTGTGACTCTCCCAGTGGGAGACCTCACAGAGCATTTTCCCTGGACTCCGTTGCCTCGGGAACCCCTCTTCTGAAGATCCCTTGAAACCCAGTGATCTCTGAACACATGTTGGGTAGTATTTTCTGTAAAACGTGTTCCACTCCTCATCAGGAAGAAGTGGGCACTTATATTCATTATCGTAAAGTAAAAAAGTTTCCCTCAAACTTTTGTACCAGAGACAGGTCGTCTTCTGCCTTTGGCAACTCTGATCCAAGCACAGGTGATGAAGAGTTCATAGGTGCCAACAGGCAGAATCAAATTCATGAATTAGTTCTGAGAGTACATTTCCATATCTTAAATTTCAAGTGCAAATACTGCTACTAACATTAACCACGTCCACACTGGCCAAAGTTGTTTTTGCTTTGGAAGATAACACGCAAGCTAAACGTGCCTCTGGGAACTCATCAAGTACTTGCTTGTTCATTAACGGTAGTGCTGACACGTGTGAGGGCAGGAGAACTTTTAAAAAATTACTTATTTATTTATTTGGGAAAAGAGAGTGCGGAGCGAGAGGAAGAGAATCTGAAGCAGGCTCCGCGCCCAGTGCAGAGCCTGACCCGGGGCTCGAGGACCTGAGCCCTAGTCACGAGTGAGACACCCCACTGACCGAGCCACCCAGACGCCCCAGGAGAACTTACTTTTAATCAACCAACAAAAGTGCTGGTTGGAGAATTACAGGCAGTCCCGACTGATGCACATTCTGGTTGTTTACCTGCGTGCATTCCTGCTCCCCCACCTGAGCGTCCTTTTGTGAAAGGACGAGTGTGGATGCAGGAGGCTCCGCGTGGCGGCCTGGCTTGTCCACGGTGCTCGCCACGCAGAGTCAGCACCCGGGATGGACTCCGTCCGCAGGGAAGGGGGGTCATCCTGCAGCGCTGTGTTCCTGTAACAAGTCTGGCTGTGGGGGCGCGGCAGGGGCCAAGTGGAAGTAGCACCTCACCAGACTCTGTGCAGGTGTGGGGATGGGGGCGTGTTTCCTTAACTTGTGTTACCAAAAGCGGCTTTTCCGTCTGCATATCTGCTCTGACGTAGAGATAGAGCCGAGTCTGGCATTCAGTTCAAAATACGGGGCTCAAAGTTCTGTAGCTCTTCAGGAGGAGGGTGAGGCTTCAGATAAAAATAAAACTCCTGCCTGCTCGGTTTACCGTTGGTAATAGAACTTGAAAAGTAGCAGTTTTCTGTAATATCTGTAGATAGACGGTTGTCTCTTTAGATGGGTCACGGCATCGTTTTCTGAATTGGGGAGTGGAGGGGGGTGCGTGGGAGAAGGGTAGTGTTTGCCCCTGATGGTGTGTCCAGTGCTGTCCCCGCTTGGCCCCTGTCACTCCCATGATCCTGTCCGGAGGAGGTAAGTGCCACTGTATCCGCCTCTTACAGACGATGTTGAGGCCTAGGGACGGAGCCCTTCCCCGGACCGGCCGCTGAGCTGCTGCGGCCCGAGTCCAGACCCTGCTCGGCGGTTCCAGTGCCGGTGCGTGCTCTCTGCCACGCTGTGCGGCCTTCATGCCCTAAAACTCTGCCTCTTGCTTGGTGCCTGCCTTGTTGGCCGATCTGGGACCTATGGGCCAGCCCAGCCCAGGCGTCGCCTCTGCGAAGACACTCGGGGGAAGCGTGGCCAGAGAGTCACCCGTGGAGAGCCGGATCGCGCCGCTGACTCGGCTCCGGTTCTCCGTGCGCTAGTCTTTGTCCTCACTGCGTGACTGAAAGGAGGATGGAGTGTGCCACGTTATGTGTCCTTTAATACAGGAGGTGGCAGCCTTATCTATTTTTTTTTTTAAGATTTTATTTATTTGACAGAGATCACAAGTAGGCAGAGAGGCAGGCAGAGAGAGAGGGGGAAGCAGGCTCCCCGCTGAGCAGAGAGCCCGATGCGGGGCTCGATCCCAGGACCCTGAGATCATGACCTGAGCGGAAGGCAGAGGCTCTAATCCACTGATCTATTTTTTTGGGAAGCAACGAGTAGGAATTACATGAGCTGAAATTTCCTGTTCAACTTCTCAACACTGTCCTTGGTTTGTGGCTTTTGGACAGTCTTCAGGAGACCTACGAAGCGAAAAGGAACGAATTTCTGGGAGAACTTCAGAAGAAAGAAGAAGAGATGAGGCAGATGTTTGTGATGAGAGTGAAGGAGAAGGAGGCGGAACTTAAAGAGGCAGAGAAAGAGGTAAGCCCTAGGCCTGTTTCCTCGGGGCGGGGCCAGGTCAGCGAGCTGTGTGACGGACTCGTCCCGGTTTGCAGAACCCCGTGCGCTCCTGCGTGCTCTCCGCATGTGTCTTAGCACACGAACAGCAGACGGACGTGGCGAGGAAGTGCCGGTCAGGTGTTCTTAGCCCCATTTTTCAGATGATAAAACTGAGGCCTGGAGGTTAGATGATCTCTGCAGTCACATAACCTAGTATGTAGCGCAGCTGAAACTAGACCTTAGGTCTCCAGGTGAGGTCCCGTGTTCTCTGTAGCTCTGTATTTCCTCAGTTTTAAGTCTTGCAACATAAGAGTTGGGATTCTGGGACCATTATTATAGTCTGTCCGCCAACTCGGTGAGCCAAGCCGTGGAGGGGCCCCGGGTCGCCCCTGCTGGGTGACAGTCTCCGCGCGCCCCGTCTGGCTGTGGGCCTCTTCCTGGACGGGCTCACACTCGCTGCTCCAGGTCCTCTAGACTCTGTGTCATTGCCTGTGACCAGGCCCCGTTAACCACCTCCTGGAAGTTCGCACGGATTTCCGCTGTGGCACGCATCCCACCGAGACGGGGGCGGGTGGGGGGAGACGACAATCTCCCTGTCTCCGCCGGCAGATCAGGAGTATCTCGAGCTTGTACATTTCCAAATTGTCTGCACGGTTTCCTCATCGCTCCCTTTAAAGTAATCTTTATCAAGACAACTGAACTTCAGTGGCTGTTAAAGTAGCTAAGCCCTCGGTATAGTTTTGCCGAGGAGCAAAGTTGATCCTGGCTTGTTGTTGGCTATAGGTACAAAACGGAAGCCGGATAGAAATCTACAGTTACCTAGTAAGAGCTTTTTTCTTCTTTCTGTCCTTCCTCCCTCCCTTCCTTGTTGCTTTTGTTTCTGCCTCGTGATAATTTTCTAAATTCGATTTGTGAAGGAATTTGCCAGAAACCCCCTCTAACAGATTCTTACTATTCCAGTAGCCTGTGGTCTCTGCATCACTGTGTGTGTCTGTAAGTAAGTGTATATTACACACTTTGAAAAAGGACCAGAAATCCAGAACTACTCTTACCACTTGGGTAAATTGCTACTTCAGAGCGTGGATAATTTTTTTCTTCTTTATGCTTCTTGCAGTGACCATGTATTTTATTATCAGTAAGAACGAACAGGATTCCCTTCAGTGTGCTGGTGTCCAAGTCTGAAGGGCACGTCGTAGGGCTTGGAGGGCTGCTCTCTGCCCCCCCGGGCTGCCTCCCCCGGCCCCCCACCGGCAGTGCAAGACGGCGCTTCCATCGCAGGTGCAGCAACACGGAGCGTCCTTTGTTTTTGAACAGATGCACGTGGCCTCCCGCCGTACCCATCACTCCCCTCACCCAGCTCAACCCCCTCTTTTCCTGTCCAGCTCCATGAGAAGTTTGACCTCCTGAAGCGGACCCACCAGGAAGAGAAGAAGAAGGTGGAGGACAAGAAGAAGGAGCTGGAGGAGGAGGTGAGCAACTTCCAGAAGAAGAAGGCGGCCGCTCAGCTCCTGCAGTCCCAGGCGCAGCAGTCTGGGGCCCAGCAAACCAAGAAGGACAAGGATAAGAAAAAGTAAGCGGGTGTCCCCCCACGCTTCGGGGCCCTCTTAACAATTTACTCCTCTTGCATGTTTCCGCTTTTCCCATTTCCAGACTGGAAGCTGGTCTGTTACCAGAAAGATAAAAGCAAGTCTGTTCTCTACAGTGCAGGGGAGATGGTACAGGTTTCTAAAGTGTTCGTAAAGGGCGCACAAACGTAATGTGTAAAACTGGACCGCAGGGCCACGCGGCCGGGGCTGGAGGAACCTGCCGTCCCCAGCGGCGTCTTCTGCACCAGCGCGAGGACAGGAGAAGACGGTCTGTTTCTCTGCAGGGCTCCCTGGAGACAGGCCTCGAGACTCGATGGACGGTGGTTAAGGTCGTTCTCTTCTGTGGCGCGGCTTGATAGCCCGTCACGGAGTCTTGTTTCCAAAGGGGAAGACTGGGACAGACGGCTAGGGCCACCTCGTTTCCCCTAAGTGCCACAAGCTGGTGAACCGAGGATCCGCACGCCTTCCCGTTGCGACGCCCCCCGCCCCCATCCTCAGAGCACGCGGGAGAGTATCTGACACAGCCTCGGTTTCACGTGCCCACGGGGCAGGTCCTCTCTCTGGGCCGCCGCTTCTGTCGCGGCGGCGGTGGCGGCCGCCTGGGTCCCGCGGGGGCGCGGGCCGGCCTCGGCCTCTCGCGCCCGCGGGTCGGCACCGTCGCGGCCGGCTTGGCGGCGGGCGCGGGGCGGGACGAGCCTTCCCGGTCGGCCAACCCAGGCGCCGCGGCAGCCCCGGGCGGGTGTCGGGGCTCTTAGTGCGGACCCTCCGGGGCCAGGTTCCGGGTTGTAGGGGACGCGCTGGGGAGCCGCTGGGCGCGGGGCGGGCGAGGCCGCAGCCGAGCGGCCCGGAGCGGGTGCGCGCGGCGGGGCCCCCGCTCCCCGCGAGCACGCGCGCCCCGACGGGCGCCGTCAGATGTCCCGATGCTCTCGCACGCGGCGCGCGGGCGTTTTACACGCACCTCACGCACCCGGACGTCGCGAGCGCTGAGCCGGCAGGACACGCGTGAAGACGGCGAAGAGGGAGGCGCGATCTCGGCCACGGAAAGTCGTGCGCGAAGCGCGCCGCGAGGTCGACGGCGTCGGTCCAGACGCGAGTGATGGAGCCCGCCGGGGGCTGGAACCCGAGGCCGGACTAAGTCTGAGCGGAACCGCTGCCCGCCCGGTAACCCCGTCCCGGAGAGCGTCCGGTGCTGTGCGCGCGGGGGAGCCGCGGCCACTCGCTGGGTCGGTCCCGCGCGGCCGGCGACTCCGGCTCCTCCGGTGCAGACGGCCGGGAAGTCACGGGCCTCGTTCCTCTGTTGACCCGAACTCACCCAGGATAGCGTGTGTGCGAGTGTGCATGTGTGTGTGAGTGTGAGTGTGAGTGTGTGTGTGAGTAGGTGCGCGCACGTGTGGGTCCACATCCGTAGGGATGGATGAACCAGAAAGCTGCTGACTCACGGCTTAGGAGACCCAGAGTCAGGTTTTTCTTACCCTGAAGCACTCGTGTGCATAAAGGTACACGTCTTCTAAGATCTTTTTAAAAGACCAGCAACGTTCTGAGGAGATGCCCCGCGCCCTGGACGTGCCTTGAAGCCACACAAGCCACATGAGCTGCTCCGCACTGTGCCTCCGTTGGACAACAGTCTGTGTAGGGACCGACTTTCCGGGGAGGGAGGTTTCTCCTTGCCCTTGCAATCATTTTAGGTTATTTTCATCCCAACCTTGGGCCTTAGCGTTGTGTAATGCCTTTCAAGTTCACACAAAATATGTGTAAATTCTATTTTAGCCTTATTTATACATTCTCTTGTATTAGTACTAGAATTAGACTTCATCTGGTGCACAGCAGTGACCAGATTTCGTACCAGTGGCACATACTTTTGGGGTAGGTTCTTAACCTTTTCTACAACTTCCCCATCTGAACGCGAAGGCAGCTGCCAGTTGGAGGCCTGGGTGTGGAGGTGAAAGGACCCCCGCCCCGCCCCGAGGGTCCGGGGGCAGTTTGGGCTGGAGAGGACACAGGAAGACGGTCACCGGAGCGGCACTTTGGAGATGAATGGGAGACTGCGTGTTCTCCCGTGGCCGGAGGCGATGCCGGGGTCCCCTGCGCGCCCCTTCAGAGCTAGCTTTGTTGCGGGGAGAAAATTGTTCTAGAAAGAGATGCTCACTTGTTCACTTGCTATGCTTCCACCTTGAAAATTAACTCCGTGTTTCTAATAGTTTCAAATTCTGTTTTGCTCTTCTGGGGATGCGCCCCCTTTTTAACATACGTAAGGCTTTATACTTCTTGGCCTGTGGTGGCACGAGAGCCCACATTTCCTAAGGTAACAGAGTAGAGCAGACCGGGGGCACCTCCCGTCCTCCCCAGCCGGCGCTGCCCAGGGTGAGGTCTTCAGCGGACCGCGTTCCTCCATTTGGAAAACTTGGCACCACTGCCGTTGCCAGGAGGCCTGGGTGGTGACGTTTCATCCACCCGGAAAGAAGGTTTTAAAATCCATCATTTACAAACGGTCGCTGGCATCCGAGAACGACAGGTTACGCAGTGGCTCTCGGGGACGGTGTCGTGCTCTGCCCCCAGCGCTGCGGCCACCACCACCGAGTGCCGGTCCTGCTTCCCCTTCCCAAGTGCATGCGTGGCCCGTCCCCGTCCCCTGCACGCCAGTCCCCGAGTCAACGGCTCAGAGATGGTGCTGCAGATTTATTCTCTGACTCCAACCGCCCAGACACAGAACGATGCGCTTCTCTTCAGCGCCGAGGGGAAGCCGAATTAGTAGATAACGTTCTGTGTTACTTGAGAAAAAGAAAACCTTCCATACAACATGGAGTGGCTTCAAGAAGTCACTCCTAAACTCTCAATTACATGCAAATGGAAACTAACCGTGTGTTCTTTAATTCAGTATTAAAATGTTGCTTTTGCTTGTCCTGTAGAATAGCTTCCTCTGATGCGTGGTTTTAATTTCTGTCAGTTCCATAATCATTGCATGAGCATTCACCATCACCGAATGCTGGTGCTGGCGCTCCTAATTTTCCTTTCTTTTTTATTTATTATTATTTCTAACTTTTTTGTTTTGTTTTTTAACTTGCAGTGCAAGCTTCACATAAAGCCTGGCAAGCCAAGGACGGTCCCGCATTCACCTGCTTTTGCAGTAATATTGTATCTCTGCCATCTGTGTCCTTTTGTTTTATTTCGTTATTTTTTTTTTTACCCTTCCCCAGACACCAGTAACTATTAACTCATTTTGCTGAATGCTGTTGGGTAGCGGAAAATGACAGAACAAGAGAATGACACCAAAAGCTGTGTGCCGCTGGACTTTGTTTCTGGAAAGTCAATGATTTGCCTTTTATGCCTGTTCCGAGCGGCGGGAAGCATGCCTGTTGCTTGTGTGCCGCTTGGGACCGGGGGCCGGCGGGTCGCTGGCTCCGTGTACGTCTGTCGGGAGAACTCGTCACCGCCTCAGCAGCTGAGCGCTCGTCCCGATGCCCGTGACGGCTGTTTGCTCTTCTCCATTCCTCACCCCCCGGTGGCAGGAGCCCGTGACCCACTCTGCCCCTCCTCCATCCCGCCCCAGCCGAGGTGGCCTCCTGCACAGGTGGAACAGGGGCCGGCTGTCAGGACTGTCACACCTGCATGGGATTCTCATTATTACGATAACATTATTGGACCCGTGCTGGGCTCTCTTCAGACCATCCCCTCTTACGGCTTTAAACACGTGTCCAATCCCCCCTCTCCAATCTTGGCCAAGTTGGACCACAATGAGATAGCGCATTGTCTTCCCTTTTATCAGCGCTACCTTGACCGTGTCCCGGTCGGGGATCTGCAGGGTCAGGTAGTGGAACGTGGCCAGAAGCTGCGTCCGCGGGAGGACGGGCTCCCACGGCCTCCCGCGCTCGCAGCAAGCGGCGCTCACCCTGTCCGAGGCGGGGCCGTCTTGGGACTCCGTGCGGGGCCGGCCCGGGGCTCGGGGCTCGCTGCTGGTCGCGCTGCGCCCTCGTCGGGAGGAGAAAACTGCGGGGCCAAGGCAGGTAGAAAGTCTGTGACCAGCTGGTGTCCTCTGCAGCCCCACTTCTGGGGGCCTTGCCCGTTCCAGGGGCGCAGAGGAAGAAGGGCTGGGGTTTCAGGTCCGGCTGTCCCCAAGGGTCTCCTCCCCCTGTCCCCACGCTGCGGCGGCACCCGTGGCCGTGGCCTCAAGGGTCAGGGCCGCCCGGGCAGGCCACGCAGATCCCAAACCACACTCGGAGAGAGGGGGCGTGTGTCCCCGCCTGTACCGCTCCTTTGGGGGCTTGTCCCTTGTCTCCCCGGTCTGCCCCGCTGCTGACAGCCCGGGGGCTGCGGGTCCTCACGCGGCTGCTGCCCTGAGCCACCCCCGCTTCCTCCGGCCCCTGCCGGCCACACGCTGCGTAAAGGGGACAGACACACTGTGATCCCCGGACCCACACGCACCCTCTGTGGTCATTGTCACGAGTCTCTGGTTGCTTCCAGTAGTTTCATTCCTTCTCCTCATGCTTAACCACACGCTCAGGGGAAGGAAGTGAGGGTCTCCCCGGACCCAGGTCCGCCCTTAGCCAAAGTCCGCATTCGGTTCCGCTGAAGGCTGAGCCGGGCCTGGCTCGGAGCCGCGGGCTGGGACCGCGATGGCGGCACGAAGGCCGGGGTGGGAGCCCCTGGCCTCGTGCTGTCGTCGTGCTTGTCGCGCGCCCGGCTGCTGGGCACGTCCTCTGCGCCGAGGCTGACCTGGCTGCGGCCGCGCTGAGGCCTGACTCCTGTGTTGTGTGCTCCGGCTGCTGCTTGTGTGTGAGCGTTTCTGTGCCTTCTAACAAAATACGCTTCTCGGTTCTGAAAATGGTCCCCTCAAAATGACCATTTTTAATGCAGCGCTAAAGCCTTTTCTCGAAAGTGAGCCCCGCTGCGAAAGGCATCCAGCGGACTTTGATCCCAAGATTGCTGATGGATTGATTCCCCCATGAAAATTGTCACAACACAATAAACCACATGGAGAGTCAGGGAATAAAAAGTCAAAAGAAAGTTCTAGAAGCTCGCTCTCCCTTTTTAAAAACAAACAAAAACCAACGTTGTTTCTAAACTCTCTGCCCCGCTCCCTGGCCCTGTTGGGTTGGTTGTTGCTGCCCTTCTCTTCTTTCTGTGTCTGTGCCTTTCTTCACAGTAGTCCTTGGCTCTGCACGGAGTAAATGACCCCTCAAATCTAATTGGATGTGCTTTCGCCTCTGCATGTAAGTACGGCACTAAGAAAACCTGGAGATCTTTCTGACTTTTTGAAATTAGAGAAGCAAATGGGATAGATGGACTCCCCCCCCCCTTTCTGGAGGGAGGTAGGGAAGGTTAGAGTAGCCTTTATTAAGAAAAAAAGGAAACACTAAATATATTTAAAATAGCCACATTTGTACCTTCCCCACAGTAAATACAAATTTAGCTTTTCCTTGATGCCACGTGGAAGTCAGAAGTTATTGTTGCAGGCTGCATTTCGCACAGCCTGTGGGCATCACTGGACATTACAGAAGGTCCTTGGTTCTGACTATGGAGTAAAACTAGAATAAGAAATGACCACCTTCCTTTGGAGAAAACCAAGAGGGAAATATTTTTTATGTTAGGTTGCTTAATTTTTTGAAGATCTTGGTTTAATGGTCTTTCCCTCCCGCTGACTGCTGGCAGTGAACACACTTTTTTTTTTTTTGCTAGACAACTCCCGGGGCCTCTCCCCATATCTTCTGTTCAGCCACAATGACCATTGCTTTTGGATTTTAGGTCCGTGTAATGGTTGTATGTGCAGTAGAATGATGGAAAAGCACTTATGAGAATTTCCTGGCAGTTAGGGACTTTGTTTTCCCAGCTTAGGCTCCTCATTAATTGGTCAGAGTTTTGTCCAGAAAGGGCATCTGAACCAGGGGAACATTTAAGGTCACGCTGGGCACAGGTTCCTTATTGTCTTCCTTCTCTGCTTTGTAATCTCACCAGCAATAACACTTATTCTCCATATCTCGTGCACCTCAAACGGACAGACTGGGTTTCTTCACTTTCTGACATACCCATAAGTGTTGCAGTTTCAGCTATTACCGACCCGTGTCGTACTGTGTCTCGTGTGGTCCTTCCAAACCCGTCCTTTTAGATCCCTCTGCTTTGCCATTTGCAAGTGTCTGAAATCGTCAAGTCTCAGCTTCCAGAAAGTCTTGGTTCCACTGACAGGATCTATATGTGATGACTCTTTAGTGGAAACTATGACCTACAAAGTCTAGATTGTATGTAGGTATGAAGGGAATTTTTTAAATAAATGAAAAGCTGTGAACAGCATTAGAACTTTGTCTATTTCTTAATTTTAAAATATGCTGATATGCCTTAAACTGTAGTTGTAGATCACTGTCATTTTGCTGTTTGAAAATAACCAATGTGTTTCTAAAAGTGTTATGTAATCTACTTTTGGTGTTAATGCAGAATTGTCGTATGTGTAAGCTGCATGTTAGACACTTGTCTTTTTTAAAAACTAAAATAACTGTATTGATATGAAGTATACCATTTTTTAAGTACGAAAGTAGTCACGTAGCAACCATGCTCAGTAATTTGGTGTCTGTTAAGGTAGGAGAGTGATGCGCAGGTAATCTATGCATATATCACTAGTGCCAAGACACGAAGTGGGCGAAAATATATTTTTACCCAAACAATGTGTGCCCTTTTGTGAGTTCTTTTCAGTCCGTGTTTGATATGCGTATGTACACGCGACTCGTATTGGATAAAAGAAAGAGGAATGAAAGAGTCTCGTGCTTTCCTGCCTTGTCTGCTGGGTTTCAGACGCTCCCATCCGGGCAGCAGCACCTTCTCCGAAATCATTGCCTTGTGGTGTCCTGTCCCTCACGTGTGGTCGCTGCCTCCCTCCCTCCCCCATCCCCTTCTGTCCACACTGTCGTCCCCGGCCCCTGCCCCTGCCCGGCCCCTGGTGTCGGCGTTGCCGGGGCTGCTCACAATAGTGAGCCCTTAAGCTGACGCACCACCGCCCTTCCCAGCTGTTGTAGAGAAGCCCCCGCCCCCCTTTTTTTCAGCTTTTAAGAATCAAATTTGAATCTGAATCTTTCTCTTTTCTCTTCTGTAGCTTCTTCTTTATGTAACCATCCTGTTGACAAGCCCTCCTCTCTCCTAATGGACATAGAGCATTAGACGAGCAGGAGCTGTGTGTTCACGTGTCGGGGAAGAGTTACCTCATTTCCACCGTCGCTTCCTGTTCTTTTAAAGTCCGGGTCAAACACGCGTCGCTGTTTGTTCTTGTCCATGTCTGTTTACCAACCGCTGCCCGCAGTGGTTACCAAAGTGACTTGTCACTACCCAAAACGGTAATACTTAATAACACTCACAAGGAAATTGAGTGGAAAAGAGAACGTGGGCCAAGACCCAAGGTAGCCGTGTGTTGGGATCCTGTCGCGTAGCTGTCATGTTCTTGAAGCTGCCGATCTGAGAACTCACGGACTGAAGACGGCACGTACCCTACCCTGGGCTGGTCAGCACCTCCAGGGCCCACAAACTCGATCTCATGTTAACTCCAGACCTCTCTGTCCCGTGAGCGACCTTCTGAACAGCCCCAGCGGGACCCTCAGCCATCAATCAGGCCATAAGAGCTGGGCAACATCCTCCTTCCTTTTGTTAGTTTTTATGGGTTGTTTTGGAGTTTGGGATTTTTTTTTTTCAACTTTTGATATTGCATGAACAGAGATGGCTACAATTTTTTTATTTGGAGTGTTCTATTGATGCAATGTTTTTATTTTTCAGCTGACCATCTGCCTCTTGAGAGAGAGAAGTGGGCATCCTTCCTTTAAATTCAGGAACCACTGTTGTTTGATTTCACTCTTTTTCTGTGACCTGCATCCCTTATATAAGTTGTTTTCGGTTTGGGATTCTGTTTTTGAAAAAAAAAATTTTCCAGTTAGCCAGTTCTGTTTTATGTATTGGTTATTCGAACTGAGTTTGGTATCAAAATTATGCCAGTTTTAAGTTCAAGGGGAAATCTAAGTGAAGTTTAAGTCACAGAATTCTGTTTAAGAATCTCTGCTGATCTCAGATACAACCACGAAAACCCCTCGGGTGTCACTGGGGTTTTGACCTACAAGTCTTAATCGTGTTTAAAATGTGTCAGTGTTAGGTCGAGGACTTTTCTGCCTCTAGGGCTCAATTTATACTTAAAGCCACGTTAAATAACTTTCTGGCCCATCCCTTTTTATTTATTGTGAAGCTGTGCTTTGCCTTGTTTCCAGACTGTTTGTATGCTGGGCCGTGGGAACAAACCCCAGGGACGTATACAGCCCCTCCCCGACTGTAGCATCGTTACGATGGTTCTGACCCCCAGTCTTCTCAGTTCCCCGGGTGGCTTTCTGTACCATGGCTGTGGGAAAAAAATAAAAAAAAATTCACTGGGATTCACTTAAAATACACCCAGCGTAGGTACACACACTCTGGCAGTGTAGGCTGTGATTCCTAACGCTGACGCTTTTGTGAGGGGCTGGAGATGAAGGGCCATTGTCACTTTGTTAGCAGTCACCTCTTAGGGGCACTTTTCATCATCAAGGGACTTTCAAATTCAGCTCTATTTTAGAGCATGAACGTGCATTTTAAGTTACTTTATAATTTTATTACTCGTCGATAGTCTTCGCTTATTTCCATCATTTTGCAGCCCCAGATTAGGAAGGTCGTGTTTGGTAGAGATCCCCAGGAGTGTTCGCTCTGCTGGAGACTGGTAGCGCAGGCTTCTGCTGGCAGGTGGGATGGAGCCATAGAGCACCGGTTCCCGTCTCTTCAGTCCCTTACTTCTTGGAGAGGTCATTTAGGGCAATTGGATGCGCATGCTGGCAAGAGGCTTTCTTAGAAAGAAACTAATTAAATGTAATAAAGTCAGGTTCATCCGAGCCATTAAATGCTCAAAATAGAAAAGTCCAGAGCCACCCCCCCTCTGCCATGTTACATTATAATCCATAAAGGTAGAAATCTGCTGGTCTCGTCACCAGTGGCTTTGTGGTGGATGGGTGGGTACCAACTCTTTAACTGATGCCAGAGCATGACATCTGCTTTTTAAGTCAAACACAACCAACCTTTTGTGTGAAAACACTGTAAGCACTAAGTACAATAATTGGATTGTTAGTATTTTATTTTTTGTTTTTTAAAGATTTTATTTATTTGACAGAGAGCGAGCTCACAAGTAGGGAGAGAGGCAGACAGAGAGGGGTGGAAGCAGGCTCCCTGCTGAGCAGAGAGCCTGATGCGGGGCTCGATCCCAGGACCCTGAGATCACGACCTGAGCCGAAGGCAGAGGCTTAACCCAATGAGCCACCCAGGTGCCCCAGATTGTTAGTATTTTAATATGAACTTAACCCCATCACTCATTTAAAAACAAATTCTGCATGAGGTTGTAAAGACATCTTTTGAGCAGTATTTAAAAATCAAATCAGGCACTTTTTTTTTTTTTAAAGTAGAGAAATGTGTAGCCTGTTGTTGCCGTTCCCTTTTATTCTCCCGTTTGGGACAGGTTCGAGGTAGTATGGGGAACAGGTTACTGTAAGCACGGGGCCTCTGTTCAGCTCCCTAGGGAAGGCTGACCACGGACACCACTGGTCAAGTGCACTGTCCTCCCCGTTGATTTGGCATTTTACTTTGGGGAGTTCCCTCTCTCAAGTGTTGATAAAGCTGCTAAGTTCTCCAGTTCTCGTCCCGGCTCACCAGTTAAGAGCTGTAAAGCCATCCCAGGGCTGACCATCACTACTAATGATCCACTCATCCCAAGCTGGGTTGTAGAGTAGAAAAGCAAAGCAAGAACGGAGTCATCTGGCCCAGTGTCCATGGGGAATGGGCTTTTTAGTTTGCATTCAGTCTTTTAATAGGTATTACCTGACTTTCAGATATAGACTGCCTTATCGCTTGTGACAGGTGTAGTCTACACCACCTACTTGAGGTTGGCACAGCACGTGTATAAAGATCTTCTGAGTCTGTATTTGCTGAGCTGGTGGGCAGAAAACAGTTAGGTCATCTTCCCAATATGTTGGGCCAAACTCCCCCCACCCCCAATCAACATATCTAGAACATGAAACTTGCCTCTTAGTTAATGATGGTTTTTGCCAGTTGGCCCAGCTTTTAAGTAAACAGTTCTGGAATCTGAAAAAGTCAGTACGTAATTCTCACTGTATGTAAGTGATGCTTCTACACAGAACCGTCCGCTTTGCAGAGGCCCGTCCTCTTCCCGCTCTGGAGACTGGTAGGGATGTCAGTGTGGCTCACTTGAAGACCCTGTGTTTGAGGCTTTCGGATCAGTTTCTAGCAAGTAGCTGAAACTGCCCTGGCTGGAGAAGCGATTTAATGTGTTTATTTGAAAAGACTAACTGGGAGCCTATGTAGCCATTCCCCTCCCTTCCCAGCCGTCCTATGCTGGTAAGTAGCTGTACACAAAGAGATCTTTCGGCGTCAGTGGAACACTGTTAAGGCACAGATCATAGACGTGCGCGTGCGGCGCGCGCACACACACACACGAGTGTATGGGGAAGGGAGTGCAGAGTAACATGCTAGACTTCGGCTCGACGGAGCATTCTCCGTGCAGCGTTTCCAGACTGTGAAGGTGCCATGCCAGCTCTCCTTGCCCCTTATTTCCGTCCATCTGTGCACCTTCCCCACCCCCTTCTCTTCTCCCTTTCCAAATACTTTGTTCCCCGTGCGGTCCCAGGCCTACACTGGATGCTGGGGATGTAGCCACACACCACGAGTCGCACTTGTCTCTGTATTCCTCATGTACACAGCAGATGTGGGGAGCAAAAGAAAAGGTAAGCCCTTTCTATGCTAAATTGCTAAAGACCGATAGTATTCTGAAAAGCAGAAGCCCTCTCCCACCTTGCCCAAATTCCTTTTCCGTGGTTGCTTACGGTTGCCCTTCATTCTAGAGTGTCCCCTCACCTAACAAAAGCAGCAGTTTCAGGGAAATGAGAAACCAGTTCACTGGGCCTCTACTCTTCTACTACCCTACTGTTGTGTAACACACATCAATTCTACCATTTGACACGCTAGGAAGATTGTATCATATAGTCAAGAGAAAGGGGGAGGTTTTTACCATTTTATCTTAACTCAGAAGTTCCTGGGAACTAAAAAACGAGTTGTGAACTTTCTCCAAATTTCTCTGCTAAGACATCCTTGGTTACCTCTTATTACGCCTTTTCAATAATCCAGAGATGGCAAGAGGGAGGTCTCTGACCTACCCATTGGTCTGTGGCATACCAGTACATCATAAAAATCACTAAACTCATTATGGTGAGTGAAAACTGCTAGTTCCTTGATAAAACCTATGCTAAGCCTATACTTTTATCTGTTAATGAATTTGGTCAAATCCAACTCAAACTGAAAGCAGCAAGGTTTGGGAACTTGGGGACAAAATCTTCTCAGTTGCATTTCTAGGTTATTACGCAGGGCTAGACAACTCAGAAAAATTAGTTTTGCAAAACCAGTTGTTTTTGTTCTTCATAAGAGAACTGTCTGGACACAATCTGCCCCAGACCACGGCAAGTCTTGCTCATTTTTCAAGTCCCAGATACACAGTCCCCCGTGCCTTAAATGACGTGAACTTTAACTGCAAATGATGTTAATGTTTGGCAACAAGAGACAAATGTTCAACTGCTCGTTCTCACACAGTAAGCCTAAGGAACTCAGTTTTCCCCAGAAACTTAAAAAAGATGCTTTATTTTCCGAGAAGCACCATCTAGTGGCCAAAGCTCAAGGCAATAATACTGGGCATAGATGGGAGACCTTCTCCTCTTAACAGTTTAAAGGCTAAGTTCTAGAATTCTGCAGGCTTCAGAAGTGACAACTTAGGAAACTTCATGATAGCAAATATAAAGGGTAAATTGGAGTTAGAAATGGAGCCTTGTTAACAGTTCCTGGCCGTGCGGCACTGGACCTCCAACCCTCTAACCCTCAACTTGCTAATGCAGACGAGGGATACAATCTTTCAGGATGGTTGTGAGAACGGGGGACACAAGACCTTCCCTTTCCAGCTGAAAAATGCACAAACTACCCTACAGATGAAGATGAGCTCGTCACCATGTTCCCGAGAGGCAGCAGCTTATGCACGCGCTCCAGTGAACGGCCGCTGGGCTGCCCTGGGCAGCTGTGCTCAAACATGACGGACTCCAGAATGAGTAAATTAGGCTTGAAAATCCAGATACGCAGAGTACGGAGGACACACGCACACTCGTTTCTAACACAGGAGAGAAGTGGTGCTGCTACATAGGGTGTGGACGCCAATGTCTTCATTCCCTCCACGGTGAAGGTTACTAGGCTGAGTCTCAGCTGGGCAGAGCGGGGAGCAAAGCTCTAGCTAACCTCAGGCCAAAGGCTGTGTTCAGGAACATTTCCAACAAATCGTTTTTCTTTTTAATGGGATGTGGGAGCACCCTCCCTTCTCAATCCTCCCCCGGCCCCTCCTACCAGTAAATCATCTGTAGGAAAGATACCGTGTTCTCCACCGGTAACTTTGCACCAGTCTTGTAAACTGAATGAAGACTTACTGCTTCACTCCGGTCTGACCTTCGAGAGTCAGAGGGTGCACTTTTTCTGTTAAACGGAAGATGAGAGAATAATTTATGGCCGATCATCAAGTTCATTCCCTTGCCTTTGTGGAGGCTTCATGGAATGACGGGCCTTCAGAGCATCAGGAGCCACCGGACAATTACCCATAAAGGTCAAGCTTCCAAATCTTGGAACAGTCTGTGAGGTGATGCCCAGACTGGCCTGCTCTCACCAACCGTTCCATCAGATGAAAAGGGACTATGTGGAAGGTGAGAAAAGGACACAAAAGAAAAATTCTTAGGTCAAAACCTACATCCCCCAGTCATTAAATCCCCTTTTCATGTTTGATTTTCTGTGAGCATGTACTTGGGATTTGTATCATTTCTGTAGTAGAAATAGCAGCCATCTAGCAGGAACTAGTACCACTTTGCAAGCAGAAAAAAGTTAAAGATACAGAGGTTTCAGGACAACTTTTATTGCTACCAGAGGCTTTTATCATCAGTACATGGTTCTGACCGCAATGCCTTCCTCAGCCTGCACAGGGAGTTCAGGGTCCAGAAGTCACTGAGAGAAAGACAGGTAGGGCGAAAACTCTGATCAGGAAAATACGAATAGCTTAACAGAAATCTAGGGCACTGAATTCAGTCATTATGTGTTACAGACCCCAACCCCAGAGCTGCTCCGGTAACCAGACAGTCTCTCCTACTGATTACAAATGAGTGAAAATGGATCAGTTACCAAAAACAAAAAAACTAAAACCTTCATTGTTCCATGTTTCTTTGGTGAGCATCTGGATAGTTCACTTTATCACAAATTCTTTTATACAAATGTCAAAAATGCTTTCAAAAAATCTATGAGTGTCCTAATTACATGCCACTTTTAAGCTCCAATTTGAGATAAACAAAAAATGAAAACGGTAATTTTGTTTCCAAACTCGAACTGAAAGGAGACAAACACAAAATCAACGTGGTAATACCAGTCCTTTTTCTTTACCACCTCTCACTCATATGGGGCAATTCTGCAGTACCCTTTCTGGATGAATCTGAATCATGGATTAAACATGGCTGTCACAATGAAATAATTTATTCACTAAATTGCTAAAAAATGATTTTGAGGGTTTCCTAATCAGTGGAAGTCAGGCTGTAGATCAACATGCATAAAGTTCATTAAGTATTCAATAAAGAAGCAAGCAAAAATGAGAAAAATTAAATCAGGATGCTGGAGACAGGGTGTGCCAGCTAGGAGTTTTAGAACTTTAAAGAAAACACTGAATAGCACTTTTGAGATGGGGGAATCGCCGTTACGTAGAGAAAAAGATGGAACTGACAAAACACTCCAAAATTTTTTTTTTACTTTAAAAAAAATTTGGATCTTTTGAATTTTACACTTTTTTTGGGTCTTTAAATGCTTAAATGATGTTGATTCTCATCTGCCACACAAGTAAATGGGGTTTTTTTCTGGCTCACTTTGACTGGCCTGCTAAGGTACACACCTTCATACAGCCTTTCCCGGTTTCCCACGGTCCCGTTCCCAGAGTGGTCTACCTTGTTTGCACTCGAAGTTACATGACAGAAACTGGCTGCAAAGGTGGACAAGGGGAAACATGTCCCTCCTGCCTCGATAAATCAGTGCCACAGACAGAACCCACGTTCTCTGGCGCACTGTCTTCATTGTAGAGCCGCTTGATGCCATCGTAGAAGTCATCCACTTCCATCTCCTCCACTTTGCGCTTGGCAGACATCTGCTTGCACCCCCCAGCCGCTGAGAGATGATGGTAGAAGGCTGCTGCGCCTCTGACCGGCACTTCCGGTTTGCTGTCGTCCTTGGAGAAACCTAAATCTGGGCCTGGGACAGAGGAGGGCTGTAATCTGAACACTCCTTTGTCACAGGTCCCCAGGGTGTGCTTGAGGGGCCGGTAGACATACACGGAATTGAGAGGCAGGGAAGACTGCAGAGAGGAAAGGTGACGTGCCACGAGCTCCCGACAGTGGATCAGCTGGGAGCTATCCATCTGGGCCAGGAGGAAAAGAAACCACAAAGTCGCTCGTTTACTGAATACAGACTGCTCTGTCATTTCACTGGCTGCTTTCCCTCCCTGGGCTCTCTGTGCTCCCCAGCTTTCTCTCCTCTCCCCACACCTACGTGAAACTCCTCCATCCCTCCAGCCTACCCCTGATCTTAGGAAATGGGTCCAAATCTGTACTTCTACTGTCAGGCTTCAGAGCTTAAATTCTGTATTTGCAATTATATGCTGAACATCTTCATGAAAACAGAAACGGTTCTCTTTTGTTCACCGTACATAACCAACATCGACTTTTGTTCAAATTCCCTCTGTGGAGAAAACCCTTCACCTCACCCTCTGCCTCTTCTAATCTCTTCAGGAAGACAAACAGATAAACACAAAATTCATCAAGAATTTAGGGAAAAAACCAGAGGCATGAAAAAATTTAAATAAGGGATGGGGAACACCATCTGGCTAAGAATTTAAAACAATTTAAGTGTTTTGTTTTTAAAGTAGCAAATGAGAACTTTTAAGAAGTTCTTTTTAACTTTTTAAACAATTATGTTTTTGTAGAAGTTAGCAGGCTTGACAACATTAACAAGAAATGTTTTTGTTTTGTTTGGAGGTTTCACTAATTCCTTCTTACCTTTCAGGATAGTTCAGGTATCCTGCCTGAAGCCATCCTTGACTCCTCCCGGCCCCACACTCAAATTCCAGGGCCATCTGTTTCTATTTCAACCTGTCATCATATACCACATCGTATTAAAATAATCTACTTAACCATTTAGCTTTTCCTTTATAGACGATAAGCCACCAAAAGACAAGTACTGTATTGTATTCATCTTTATTTCCTAAGTTTCTTTCCTAACACAATAACTACACATGGAAGGCTTTAAAATCTTACCTGTTTTAGAGTACAGATAGTCTCTGTTCTACTTTCCCTATAATTACAGCTCCAGTTAAAATCATCTTCCTCTAGCAACATACATTTCTCCGCATCCAAATATTTTAGCGGCACCCCAAAGCCTACCAGAAATAAGCTAACCTCTTTAGCTTGGTATAAGGCTCTCCACAGTCTGACCCCAACCTTTTTCAGCCTTATTTCCTGACATATCCCAAATTGTGCTCTTTCTGCCAAACAGGCCTGTCTATGTCTACCTGCTGAAACTGTATTACCTATTCCCTTCCAGGTCTGGCTAAATGCCTCCATCTCCAAAAAACCTACATAGACATCACTTTCTGGTCTTGTGTATTTTATAAGTATTTTAGGACATTTCTTTACATCTTATTCATACCTATACAACCTACAGTACACAGCATTACTATTTGCAATACCACAGAGAAAATAAAGGAAAATATGCATGATTTGCAAAAACAATGAACACATTTGATCATGAGTCTATTTTTATCTCTAAAATATTCATTCCTTGTTACCCAGGAAAGTATCAGTGGAAAGAAGAATGGAAGGCAGGTATTATCGTCACGGTACAAATGTTAAAATGCCTAAAATTGTCAGAAACAATATACGAAAATGACCCATTTTTAATTTCTACCATTTGGTTCACTAGTTTTTTTCCCTTGTTTGAAAGACACTAGATAACACCCAAAGGGTAAAACACTACTAGCTAGTCTTAGAATTTCTTTTCTTCCCCTAAAAGAATTTATAATACTTAAAGATGGTCCCCAGCTATTAAGCTTAGGACTGTAGGCGAGGGCTTATCGCGTCCCAGGGGTGGAGAACAAGCTGAGCCTTGCTAAAAACAGGGCAACAAAAAACACAGAAGAGAGACGGGGCTTTATTTAAAATTCTTTAAGGAGCTAGGTACCCTTGCCGATGCTTCAAGAAGCCGACAAAAGGGAGATGAGAGAAATGAAAGAAATTGGGAAGAGAAGAAAAGGCTAGAGGATAAAAATCACTTCTGCAAAGGACCTACTTTAACAAACTATTCCTTAGCAGATGACTAACACCAGGGGCCTAGAAAAGTGAAAGGATCGTGATATCCCAAAGCCTTGGTCCCCGGGCATACCACCACAGCAGAGCCGGCAAGAGCTCACACAGACGGTCCTGGTTTGAAAACGACGCGCATTTCGAGTCAAGGGAGACGACGCCCCTGCGACTCCGTGCAACAGTCGACGGGACTTACCCCGCGGCCGGCCGGGCAGCACGGGGGCGGGTTGGGGGCGCCGACTCCCACAGTCGGAAATCCGAATCTCGTTTTCAACCCCCCGAAACTCTACTAACCAACACCGTAACCTTTTACACGCCACTGTACCCCGTACCCGGGATCCAGCCAGAGAAGAGAGTACTAAGGAAACCCCAGGCAGAGGGCGCAGGCTCGCAGGCTCGCACGGCGGCGCGGCTCAAACACGCGGTGCTCAGGGGCCCGCTCCGGGGAAGGTCGCAGCCAGCCAGCCAGACGCCGTTCCAACCGACAGCCGGTCTCTGAGCTCTACTTCCATGCCCTAAACCCTTTGTTCACAAGCACACACCCGAAGCCATCCCTCCTCACCTGCCACCTGAGGTGGCTCTAAGCAGAGCGCGCGGCCCGCCAGGATCCGCCGGAGGAAACGCGGAGGAAACGCCCCGCAAGCGCCGCCGCAGCAACCTCAGACCCGACACCGCCGCGCTCGGCTGAAGCGCTACCGAAAGAGCCAGTCTCACGGCAGGTGTCCACAGGGCAGTTATTGTTATTTTTCGGGACGATTTCCCCAATTCCGAGCGCCGGTGACCATTTTTAAGGAAGCCGGGCTAGAACACCCACCGCCGCGGTCACGGGGCTCAGCAGGCCGGGGACAGCCAGGCCCGCCGGGGACGCACGGGAAGCGGGCGCAGGAGAGGGGAACATCGGCGACAGGTGCCAGTGGCCCCAGGTGAGACAGCACGAAGCACTGAAACCACCGGAGCAGCCGCCTGACCTTCGGCGCCCTCCAGACCCGGGAGCCGTGGCGGGGAGGCCTGCTGCTCCTGTGAGTCCGCCCTCTGGCTCCGACCCACGCCACGGCCAAGAACAGCCCCTCGGACGGCCAGCGAGAGCCCGGGGAAGCGACACGGTCCGCGGAGTCCGGAGGTGGGCCGGTCGGTCGGGAAGAGGAGCGGGAGTACAGCGAGTGCAGCTGCAGAGGGCGGGCCAGGGACGAAGGGACAGGGCCCGGGGGCAGCCCCCCAGGAGCACGGGAGCGGAGCGGGCCGGCCAGCCGGCAGGGAAGCTTGTCTTGCCAACCACAACCGCGAACATCCCCGTACTCGGCCGCCCGCAGCATGAGACGTCCGGCACGGACGCTGGGAAACAGGTCCGAAGTAATTCCGGCGTCATCTCCCCACAACCCTGCAAAAATTTCCTGTACTAGAACCGAGAATCCAGGGGAATATTTGATACTGTACAGCCTCGCCACACTTCTAATGACAAAGATATTCGACCCGGCCCTGCTACCCAAATGCAGGTAACTTAGCAAAAACAGCCCTGGGCCTTGAAGACTCACGACCCATCAGGTCTGGGCCACACACAAGCTATCAGTCCCAGTCTTTTAAGAACTGTTAAGACCAAGTCTCCAGGTTTGCAATCTTGTTTTTAACTATCTTCTCTATTGTAATTTGAATACCACATGGGCCAGAGATCTTTTTTCATTTTGTACAATCACAGTATCCCCAGTGCCCAGATGACAGATTTTTCACTAAGTGTTTGTGGACCGTAACTGCTCGTGCGAGAACCGCACGCTGGTTTTCACACTATGTCCAAACAGCCTGCAGAGGCAAGAGGCCATGTGGATTAAGGCGGCGCCCAACAGATCTCTGCCCCAAACACCTGCCAGAAAGTATTACTTTCCGAACCATATTCTGGGATTCTATGTGTACAAGATTTTGCCAGAGTCAAGGGAAGCTTTCTAGTTCTCAAAGAAACTCTGAAAACCACCAAACTAAATCTTTAAGGTGTGTATGGGAAAGCGCTGGTTTTCTACTAAGCAGTCCTGTGTGTGTCTCTGAGAAAGCCCCAAGTTCCCTGAACTACAGGTTTAAAATAAAGAGCAGTTAAATGAATTGATTTCTAAGAAGATTTCTTCTAAGTCTGTAATACTCCCTCAATAAGAAGGGAACAAATTTCAGTGAACATTCTTACAGCACCAAAACACCAAAAGACTTATGAAAGAGAATAAGCATACTCTCCAGTATTTTTTTTATAGTAGGGAACAAATTCTCAAAGCTACAGAATACAAATGCTAGTTACGACAATCTTATTATTTATGCCTCAAAGTCTGTCCTTTCTTCGTGAAAATAACACTTCATACAGCACATTTTCTCTGTACTGGCTTTGGGAACAGGCACAGAGACCAACTCAGAACATTTAAACATGTCAATTGTTCCAATAAAAAAATGAAAAGTGAAATGTAGAAGATTTCTATGAATATCCCTTCCCCCATTTCCACAGTCTAATGTAAACGATTAATATTCAGCTTCACATAACAACACTGTAGGTAGGAAAGTAAATTTCCTGTGCCACACTATTGTTGTATTTACATGGTGGTTTATGATAGTTTCTAAAAATTCTCACTAAATATATCTCCTGGATTTTAATTTCACTATAGCATTTATTTCAATGGGAATACTTCTCAATTACAACAATCTAAATATGCTATTAAAAGAAAATCTCTCTTGTATGGGAGAAACGGTCTGTCTTACCAACATCCTATGCCTGTCCCAGGGATGCAGAGCAAGCCGAGCCCCACTAAAAACAGTGGAACAAAGCACAGAGAAAAGGAATGGGCTTCTAGCTAATATATTGCTCTGATCTGTCAACCTTTTCATAAAAAGACCCTCAATCCTTCTCTGCTCACAGACGAGGGTCTGAAATTCTCCGAGCTGAGAGGCAGTATGAGGTACTTACATGTCTGCTAACTTTTACAGTTCATATCTATGAGATATCTTACACCAAATTCAAGTATTATTCTACTTTTCTTTTATAGTATTCTAAGTTTTGTAAGTTCAATAACTACAGCTCTTTGCTAAAATTAGTTTTTATGATAAAATGTAATTACTTAAGCTCAGAATTTAACGGTCTTTTCTCTAAGTAAAATCTGATAAAATAAATCAGAAGAACTATCACCAAATAAGAATAAATAGGGACATATAAAGGCGAAGTGGATTCCTAAGTGTTTTATGGACTCAGGTGTCAGAACAGTATGGTCCTGCAGCAGATGTAAACTTAATTTTTATTTGGTGACATGAATAGAACCAATAAGCTTATCCAAAGTAGATGGTAACATATAGCACCTTTACTAACTTTCCATTTCAATGAGAAGTTTCTCCCTTAAAACTCCTACATTTTATATGCATAGCTAATAAAAAATGTAACTGGCCTATTAATGTTTTACGCCAATTTGCAGATAAAAGTGATGGAATAATCGTAGGCAATAATAGGAACTACGAGACAGAAAGTACACCTTCTACTTGCCCAAGTCTAGTACAAATACTTCACTTTCTAGCCAACAATAAATCACTTGCTTGTCTAAAAAGCAACTTCTTGCCATTTATGTTTTTTATCTTTTACAAAATAAGTGAAATATAGAAGTACTATGTTGAAATGCACAAATGGTGGTAGAAAGGTTCTTCATACAAAACTAAAGGACAATGTATTACAGAGAATCTTACTAATTTCTCAAGATTCTTACAAAAACTTTATATGTAACCTAGAAGGGTTGAAGAGAAGATAGGCTCTAACCTTTGTAAGAGAAAAAGGTTCACCTAGCCCATAAATTTCAAGTGCATATTACTCTTGTCTTTTCTTCAAAGAGGTTTGCCATTATGAGATTAGACATGTCTCTTAGCTTTATAACCATCTAGTAACCGTACATACCCCAGCCAGAAAGGAACACTTACTTTGACTGACACCTACCTGTGCTTTCTGAAGCAGCTCAATTGTCAGAGGAAGCCAATCAGGAAGAAGTTTCTCCATTTCCAAACTAACCATGGCCAGAGCAAGCATGGATCCTTTGAATTGCAGAAGTTGGTTGCAGGCCATACAGTGAAGGAGTTGCTTGGTAAGGACGGCCAGATGTTGAGACGGGCTCAGTCTTGGCAAACTGAAAAGTAACTGAGGCCTAGTTGACACTGCAATGGCGTGAAACTGGAGGAAAAAAAAAAAAAAAAAAAAAAATCACAAGAACATCATACTAGTTTTACTTAAAAGTTTTAGGTAAATTATGTACAGAAATTGATGTAACCTTAGGAATGACTCAAATTTCTTAAGTTTTTAATTTTAGCTTCATGAAATTTGACAGAGGATAATATCCTAATTTCTAATTTTTCTTTTTCTAAAAATCACAACAAATGAGTGGGCAATCTACTTTCCTAAGTCACTAAGACTACATATTCAAACAGGAAACTAAGAGACATTAGGTATATTTACAATGTGAAGAAAATCCAATGGTGTAGCTGTGTGAAGATCCCAGTTCAACTTATCCAGAATAATTCTCTCCATCCTCAGAATTTCAGATGAAGAACATCCACAGAAACTGTCTCTTGCCAACACCTTCAGTACTGGAATTCTCTGTCCCAAGCAAAGTGGAATGAGGCAGAGTGAAGAGGGAGGAAAAAAAATACACTAATTTTCAATTTGTGTTCTGGTAAACAGAAAGCAAGTTAATAAATGGAGAGAAATTTTCAAGAAAGAGACAAAACTAAATTTTAAAGGAAAATATTTACCTCATCCTCCTCCACAGTCTTGGCAGCTAGGAAAAAACAGCTGATTGCAATACAACTCAAGTATTTTGGATGGGCCTAAAATTTCAAAGAAGGAAAAAAGCAACTTCAGTGATTTTCAAAAAGTTAGAGACTTTATTTTTTAAAACTAGCTATGCATGTGAGACAAATATGGCTAAAATTCCAAGGAATAATTAATCTGATTCCCACCTATTGCTTTCTAAGACCAGGGCTAACTTTTAACTTCACAACCCTAGCCATAATCATATTCTATGAAAATACTAAGATACTACATTGTTCAAAGTTCAACCAATGCTAGTCAGCCAAAGTTAAATTTCCATCTAGCAGAGAAGAGCTTAATTTTAGAAGACAACTTATTAAATAAATAAAATTCCAAAAATTAAAGATCTCTCTGTACATGTGTGTGTTCTGTAAGCTAGTTTTACTTGCTTTAACTGTCACACCAGTAATATTAACATACTAGATGTTAGGGGAATTAAAGAGCAAGAATATTAAAAAAAAAAAAAAAAGACTATAAATCTATTCCAGATGCTTTAAAAAAAACTACAGGGTGATAGCGGGGCAGTAGAAATTTTCTAATTAAGTGTCCACAAAAACAAGTATATATTCAAGTTCTATGGTGAGAACGAAAGGCTCCTACGTTCCTATAGAATCCATCAGCAGGAGGAAGTAACTTTCTCAAGAGTCTGACGTGCATAGGAGGGCTTGAATTTGCCTATTTTCCTTATCTAAGATAAGGCAGGAATACTTTCTACCTTATTGGTAGAATAAGGGTTTGCCAAACCCAGCATCAGAATCCAGTTTTAAGTAAACAGATCAATTAACTCCAATTACATTGACTGATACAGAGGTAAGTTACATAACACAAAGAAAACTTGTTTCCATATTTACTTTATACTTAAATATTACATTCTTGTGAAATCAGGGAACCCTTCTGATGACCTGATGCGGCCTTGATTAACTTATTTAATAAACACACCAGTAACCACTGCGCCTCAGTGTTAAGTGGCATACTGTGTAGGAACCTTCTAGTCCTCTGCCTCTATGAAAAAAAGCTGGTTCAATACTATCAATATTTTTATAATTATTAATAGTAATCAGACATTATGGTTTAGAAAGTACTTCCAAAAATACTGTCATGTCTATTATGTCTCCGAAGTTAAGGGACACCACACGAGTGATATTTGTAGCTAACAGTTCCAGGATCCCTGATTTCCCCAAGTATATAACAGGTCAAATGCCTGAGGTCATCAGAGTTCACTACAAAGAAGAGCCCAACCGTTAACAACTCACTCACGTAGGTAATACAACTAAATCAAGGGCACCAGAGTAAAAGAATCCCAATAGCAAGTGTGATTTTTTTTTTTTTTTAAACAAAGAGTAGTTCTAATTCCTGGATGTACATCAAGTCATTTGTGCAGTTTGTTTTTGCTTCTTTAAATACAGACATTCAGATCTTACCAACTAGAGATTCAGCTTCAGTAGCTCTGGGGCCAGACTCAGGGTGCAAACTTTTATTAAAGAGCTACATAGCATTTCCCTCTGCATAGCTAGGACTGAGGCTCTAGACACTGCTGCAGCCTTGTATGGTCTGCTTTAAGTCCCTTTATTTAAACTATGAATACACTTTAGGTATTGTTTCAATATAGATTAACCATTTAAGTAAGAGAATCTTAGGCTAATAACATGACAGGACCCATTAAATAAGAAATACAAAAAAATGAGATACGTGGCAATTTTCGATCTGATCCAGAAACTTCCCCAAATCTGTTTAAACTGTTTAATAAGGTAAAAATCTCTTCTATGACAGCAAATACAAGAAGGTCATTAATAATTTGTGAAGAACATAAAAACCAAGAAAGGACACTAAGCCTAAACTCATCTTTCTCCGCAAAAGGGAGGTCAGCTATAGTCAGAGGACTGGGGGAGAGGGGTACTTGATAGTGAGATAAATTCAGCCATGTCAGAGAACATAAATTTCAGGCAATTAGTATCATTATAATTAGGGTTCTTTAAGTCTCTTAACAATACAAGTGTGAAACATAAGAGATAACTGAGTGGCCATCCAAATTCTTCCACTCCATAATTTTTTGACTTCTATTTTTCATACCTAGTAACGACTGAATTCCCAGTTCTCCTAGCACACATATTCTTAGGAATACAAATGACAACAAACAAATTGCTTTTCTACTTTTTTATGCCTTGCCATTAAAAAATGCTAATTTTCTGATTTAAATCCATTGAGAGTCTACAATGACTAATTTCACATAATACAACCAATGCTATACCAACAAAAACCATATAAAACTTACTCATATTTTTTTGTATGTTGTCATTCAACAAAAATATACCAAACTTATTTTATGCTTAGTTCATTTTATTATACTCCAAATGTATGCCCCTGGAAATTATTTATATATTTCGAAAAAACGACAGTGTAAATATTCAATAACTAAGTAGTGGCAGAAAAAAAATGTGTAAAAGGCTTATTATACTTTTCTAGTCTAGTTCATAACTAACATCTAGAGTATACCACGTGTTAAAAGATGACTAAACTGATATATGGTTTGTATTAAAATTAGGAAATCAAAAACTTCACAGATTAAGTACATGTTATAAATACTGGTAGCAAAAAAAATTATAGAATACGATTCAAAACAAATTCTAAAAATGTACAGCAATAACAGAAAACATCATGCCTTCTTACAGGGGCACAGATCATGTCCAAGAAGGTTTTTCACTCCTTGTCACTTTCTAGAATGTTTACTACTTGCCCCTGGTTTAGTACATAAACCCTCAAACAAGAGGTTGTGTTTAAGTGTATCCTAAGATATTTACCTTTACAGTAGCTAAAAACCTGTCCAAAAGACTGCTAGCCAGAGCAAATGTTTCTGGGTGAAGGCTGAATTGGTACTTGAGTTTGGCGAGCCACTGAATCACTTCATCTCTCTGGGCTGGAGAAACATTCTGCAAGGGAACAATTAAAAGATAAAAATAAAAAAGAACAAGTGAAGTTCCAAGTTATCATCAAGAGCGAATTCTCTCTTAAAAGGTTAGCAAATGCTATGGAATACGTTTATATGTTAAAAATGTTTTAAGTTTACTCAAAATCTATCAAACTTAAGATGAATGAAGATAAAACTTTATGTACTGGTCAAAGCAATTTATCAATATCCAATAACCTCTTACTGTTTATTAAATAAAATCTTCACAATGTCATCTCACCATATACCTATATTTTATTTATTAAGATCTTATTTATTTATTTGACAGAAAGAAACACAGTGAGAGAAGGAACACAAGCAGGGGAAGAGGGACAGGGAGAAGCAGGCTTCCCACTGAGCAGGGAGCCCAATGTGGGCCTCGATCCCAGGACCCTGGGATCATGACCTGAGCTGAAGGCAGACGCCTAACAACTGAGCCACCCAGGCACCTTCGACCTATACCTATATTTTAATTAAACTAAGGTGTTCAGGGAATATAACACTTTAAAGGTTAGGTAACACTATTATCAACTGATAGTAGTTTTGGAATTAAGTTTCCCAATTCTAGAAAAGAGGAAAATATAGTGAATTTCTTTCTAAGGCAGCAAATAGCCATTAAACCATCTTAGGAAATGTAAATGGAATATGGTAGTAGAATGACAGCCCATTAAAAACAAAAGTGAAGTCAATAGGAATAAACTAAAGATGTCAGGGACAACAGCTGAATTATGTATTTAAAGATCATGGGAGAATACTGAAGGGGAAATTCACCTAAACTAATTTACCAATGGAGAGATTATACAAACATATAACATCATTGCTTCCTACATACTATTTTAAACTGCTGAGTACAGGCTTAATTTTTAGAAGGTACACACTTTAAAGCAATAATGACTTAGCTCTCTTTACTCTTTTTGCAGGCACCATAAAAAACAACAAAATAAAACAAACGTAGTAACAATCTACTTATAGTAAACACACCAGAGTTCAGAAATGACTCTGTGATTAGTGGAAAGAAGTATTTTCAATAAGTGAGGGTTCTAGACAAGTAAAGGTTTAATCCAAGCACTGTATCTTTTTAATTACAACCATTTTAGATGGAAAGCCTTCCTTAGAAAGCCAAGAGGCCATGGCTTAAACCTCTTTCCTGATTACTCTGGGTCAATTTTATGAAATCAATTCTGTATCACAGAGAGATACATTAGGAGCTATAAAAGCAGGGTGGGCTGCATATCTTAATATATCTCCCCAAACAGATATTACAGTTGGAATTTCTTCTCTCCTTCCTCTTGGCTTTCTTTAGTGTTGTGAGAACTACAAGATTTAGTGCTCATTGTAATCTCTGCCATTGCACGGGCAAGCTAATTTCTCATTTTTTCCCCTTCCTCTGTCACTTTTCACTTTGGCACAACACAGTAAAGTGTTTCTTAATGTTGGCCAAACCAACTAATCACACATATCATTTTTACATGTAGCTCTAAACTCAGTTATAACTGGTATTTTAGAAGGTTAACTGCCACATATCCACGTTCTAGTCAATTCTTTTGTCAAATAAAGACTGACCCTAGACTACTGCACAAGAAATACTGACAAGAAATGGAGATAAAAAAATGGTTTACAACCTCTCACTATCTCACCACCAAGCTGGTGTTAAAACTATGAACAATAATCTGAAAACATCTGACAGTCAAAACACTTAATTCAGTTCATATTACTATTCAGTGCCCATCGTTCCACAGGTGCTGGCAATCCAATGATGAATAAAGAAACTCTGTTTCAACTTCTAAACTTAAACTCTCATGGTGAGGCAAACAATCAGAAAATGTCAATCATCCATTTTTAGTGTAAAAGAAGGTACACACGGGTGCGAAGGGAACACCCTGGAAGGGCACTCAGTCCCGTGTGGAAGGAGAATGAAAGCTTCTCACAGGAAGTAGCGATGAACTTGTATCTTAAAAGTTAAAGTGAGGAGAGGATGTGATCATTTTAAAGACATGGAAAAGATCTATTTTTTTTAAGCCTGTGAAAAACTTTAAAAAACAGGAATCATGTCAACCTGGAGGAAATAACTTATTGTCAAGCTCTTCTGACTCTCAAGTAAAATCAAGGTGGGTGAGAAAGATGCCAGAAACGGATACTCGGAGAATCAGTGTAGAATCCCACTGATCGAGACGAAAACAGAGGCAGTTCACTAAACTGAAGCTGTGGGCTTGACAGATTCTGGATGCGGAAAGCAGCAAGGGAATTTATGTCCTGCACAGACCACTGTCCAACATGAGAGAGGAAACCGGAGTTGGGCTATTAGAGCCAGGGGCTAAATTCTCTCTCTCAAAAAGGTGGCAAAACATTATAGCCTGAAGCTGTGGCTTCTTGAGAAAGGTGGGAGGAAGCAGACACAGACTGACAACTAGGTCCGACGTCAAAGAGCTGTTACTGGTCCTTGGTTCTGTAATATATCATTTTCCACAGAGCCCTGAGCTGCTGCCCCCAGATCCAGCTCTGAACTAGGGGCTCCGAAAGGTCCCTGGGAATGACGTGAAGGCAGTCACAGGATTTCCAGATCAGCTCAGCATTCAAGAGAAATTAAATTCCTACCTAGAAGAGCTTTTATCTAAAATGCCAAAACAAACAGAAAAGTAATGTTAAGCAAGACACTGAAACAAATCAGTGTTAAGGAAATACATTTGCACAGGAAGCAACAGAAAGTCACAGAGTCCGATAAACCTGGGGAGGCTGGAGGGAGGTGAAAGAACAATGGGCCAGAGCAGCCATGAGGAACAGAAGAACAAAAACATCATCAATCGCACCTTCAGCTCAGAGATGCATAGGGGGACAGAGGAGAAAAAGATCCCTGAATGACAAATTATATATAATGTGCCTATTTGGTGTCTGACATTAAACAAATAATAAACATATAATCGTAAGAAGTGCCACAGAAGATGGACGCAATGTGCTTGCTGTAAGAGTACGTAACACAGGGAACACAGCTGTACAGAGATTTCCATATCATGGTTATAACTAAATGATCCAACTTACAGAAAGCACATGGAATGCAAAAGGCACTCAAATACTAGTTTTGTTCTTTCCTACTTCTAAAAATACCTGATGCTCTAATGATGCCAGAAAAAAACAAATTTACAAAATACTACATACAAATAATTATTTTAAACCAATTATAATACAACTAGTTATGAAAGAGATCATGACAAATCTTTGGATTTTAAACCTTATACTGAAATATGGAATAGGGCCAAGAAAGCATTCCCGCATGACTAGAATAATCATCACTAAAAACTAGTAAGAACAACAAAAACCCACAAAAGGTTAACAGTTTAAGAGTCACTCTTAGGGAAATCATACTAAGATCACTTTTTCAAATCAATTCAAACATGTACTGAACAGTAATACTATCAGGGTAGCTTTACGAAAATGAAGTTCTGTGTCTAAGTGATCCAACTTAAAAGGCAGGCCGGGGGAAAGAAAGGAAAGCAGAAGTGCCTGCCACCCTAGACAGTATGTCCTGGACAAGGGATCTGTTTCCTTTTACATGGATTCCTCAAATAGGGTTAAGCCAGTTCAGAAGCTGAACAACAACTAATCCTCAAGAGAGTTTGGAATGGATTGATTCAAGCTGGTAAAACACTGGGTTTTGTATTTCACAAGCTACTATTCTGGTCATTTAAAATACAAATACTCTCCAGCTCTAAACTCTTCAAGGCTCACCATCACCTAGAACAAGTACAAGCCCCCAGGTGTGGCGTACAAATCCCTAGGACCTACTTCTCCAGCCTCACTCACCTTCCATCACTTTCTACCTTAAAATTCATACTGTGAGAGTAGCACTTGCATTTATGGTCCTTCCTTGCTCCTCCTGTGCTATTTCATTACATCACCTCCTTTCTGTTCATGCTGTTCCCTCTGGTTGGCAGACACCCCCTCTCTTTTTACCTACCTTATTATTTATCCTTCAAGAGCTATTTCAATGGTCACTCCTCACCACACTTTTCCTAATAACTCTAGTTGGGCTAAGTACCTTCCTGTGCTCCCACAGCCTCTCGTCACACCTGTAAAGTTCAACATTTAGAAAAAAAATTACATTTCTGCTTTTGGCTGTGACAGAGTAGGTAGTAACCTACACACCAGCTGAGAACTAGAAAAACTACTGACCACCACCACCACCACCACCACCACCACTAGCACTTGTTTTAAAGTCATCAAAACTGCTAGGACAACCAGGCTTTGCAGAACCAAGATTCTGGAAAAGAGGTACAACTATCCCCCGATTTCAAAAGTCCATGTTACATCACTTAGCTTTAACTAAAAACCTACCTCAGTACCTGAGAAATTCCAAAGATTTTCACTTACACGAAAAAAGGCAAAAAGTAAAAACAGCATTCGGCATTCATTTTGCAGCAGGCTGTTACAGAGACAGTGGCACACCCAGAGCAGCAAAATGGTACTGCCCATCTCCTTCCCCCAAACACACTCAGCACCTCAGCCACCAAACTTTGAACTGTGTCTGTGAGCACCAGGGCTTTATCTTGATTTATTTTGCCCATCTGTTTAGCAAGATGTGTCCTAAGATATCAGAAAAGCCAAACAGAGGGGTCTGGGAACACTCAAAAAATTTCCCTTATAAATTAATGGTAACTGCTTCTTTGCGTTACAGCATCTCAGCTTAGAAAAGTTTCCACAGGAATGCTCTACTCGCAAACACTGGGGGAAACCTGGAACTGGAGTGGTCAACTAGAGGAAATAGTAGCTTTTCCTTCAGGGCATTTACCCATCCTCTTGAGTACGGCAAGAGGCTCAAGAGGCTGAGAGGAAGGAAACCTACAGAGCTTCTGAGACTTTTACGGGTGTAGAGACAAAATTTGGAGCCTTAGGAGCCAAACGGGGAGAGGAAGGGTCAGAAAACTGAATGTGACACTCAGCAGATTTTCCCCTTAATTCTGGAATGAAATTTTCTGAATTAAATTCTGA